TGTTGAAGACGTGGTACTGCTGTTCTATCGAATTAATTTCGGAAGAAGAAATATCTGTGGTAGGGTATCAGTTACAGAAATAATAACAAAATACACAACGTAAGAAGGAATAGATTGTAGTATATTCCTCTGTACAAGCCAAATTGATCTTAGGTTCAACGAAAAAACATTAAATTTGAAATTGTACTTTAAAATGTAGAGAAATGGACAAAACATAACTGCCTGAAAAAGTGCAGTGATCGAAAGTAACATTCTGATTGGTCATTACTAAAAGTGACATGATGATATACGAAGAAATAACACATTTTAAATATTTTATGCAGACAAAATCGATTTTTTATCAATATCAAAAATATCCTGAAATGTGTTATAAAAAGTAAAAAGAAGAAATTATACTCGGTGTTTAATTGGCGTATACTTAAATGCATGAAACAGCTGTCATTGAATCTCAGTGATAGCTGTCAGAATTTATTAACTCTGTTCCATATATGGTAAGGAAGGGTATGATGTCACTAGAAGTTTACATGTATTACATGGTTAGTCAGGGTTTATAGTTATATGCAATTAGTCATTCCTAAAATAAAATGGGTATTTTAAGGAATTTGCTATGTTTCCACTATTGGGCACCGCCCCTCTGTCCCCAGGGGGGTCAGACCCATTGTTGATACAAAATTACGTCCCCTTTACCCAAGGGGATGCTTTAGACCAAATATAAACATAATCCTGTCATTCCTACAGAATAAGGATTTAAAAGCTATTTTTCCTCTTTGGCCCTGCCTCTCTGCCAAAAGGGGGGTCAGACCCACTGTTTATACAAAATTGTTTCACTTTCTACCAAGGGTGCTTCATCCCAAATTAAACAAAGTCCTGTCATTCCTACAGAAGAAGAAGGATTTTGAGAGAATTAGCTATGTTTCCCCTATTCGGCCCTGTCCCTCTGCCCCAAGGGGCCACACTCACCATTTATACAATTGATTTCCCTTCCAAATATGATGCTACTGTTCAAATTTGGTCAAAATACCTTCATCTCCTTATTGGCCCCCGCCTCTCTGNCCCCCCCGGGGGGGGGGGGGGGGACAGACACACCGTTTATACAAAATTGCTTCCTCTTCACTCAAGGATGCTTAATACCAAATTTGGACAAAATCCAGTCATTCCTACAGAAGAAGAAGAATTTTGAAGAATTGGCTATGTTTCCCCTATTGGGCCCCAGTCCTCAGCCCTCAAGGGGGCCACACGAACTGTTTATACAAAATTGAGTCCCTTTTGGCCAAGGATGCTCCAGACCAAATTGGGATGAAATCCCTTAATCCTTATGGTAGAAGAAGGATTTTAAAGGTTTTACCTCTATTTCCCCTTTTGGGCCTCGCCCCTCTGCGCCGAGGAGGGCCACACCCACCATTTATACAAAATTTAGTGAGCTAAAAACACTATATTCCAAAATAAAATAAAGAACATTGACAAATACATTCCTAGGATATGCCTGTGTTACATATTTTGCAAAATCCAATTCGTTCACAACAACAAAACATTATGTAACAAGAGGCCCAAGAGGGCCTGTATCGCTCACCTGAATATTTAAGCAGTCATAGCAAAATATTCTCATTAAATATTATATTGCACTAAAAATATTTCCCTCGCAAACTTTGTTGTCTCCATCAGTTGAAAAAAACCAGCAAAATAATATTCTATGCTTTTTGATTCTTCTTCAGAAGTTGCTTGACATATTTTCCCCTGTGACCTTGTAAGTAGGTTAATGTCATTTTTCTTCTCAAATTGGTTAGCTCTATTCCAAAATGCTACCAGCCAAATCTTATGAATCCATTCCTTTTAGTTCTTGAGAACAAATCCTTTAAAATGTTGTTGACCTCTGTGACCTCTAAAGTACGTTGAGGTCATTTTCATTCGCAAACTTTGGTGAGCTCTATCCCAGGAAGTCACCAGCCAAATATTATAATTTTATGAATTTTAATTCATCATCAGAAGTAGTTTGAACCGTTTGACATATTTGAACGCGGTGACCTTGATGGTAAGTCAAGGTCATTTTCATTCGCAACTTTGTTGTGCTCCTTCCCAGGAAATAATGAGCCAAATATTACGGTTCTATACTGTCCAGTTCTTCATAAGAAATTGCTCTAAGCGTTAGACATATCTGACTCCTGTGACCTTGAAAGTAGGTCAAGGTCATTTTCAATCGCAAACTTTGTTGTGCTCCTTCTCAGGAAATAACCAGCCAAATATTAAGGTTCTATACCGTCCAGTTCTTCAGAAGAAATCGTTTTATATATCTGCCCCATGTGACCTTAAAAGTAGGTCAATGTCATTTTCATTCTCAAACTTTGTTGGGCTCTTTCCCAGAAAGCTACAAGCCAAATATTTAGGTTCTATAACTTTCAGTTCTTTAGGAGAAGTCGTTTTAAGCATTAGACATATCTGACTCCTGTGACCTTGAAAGTAGGTCAAGGTCATTTTCGTTTTCAAATGTTGGGCTCTATCCCAGGAAGCCACCAGCCAAATATAAAGATTCTATACCTTTCAGTTCTTTAGAAGAAGTCGTTTGAAGTGTTTGAGACATTTGACCCCAGTGACCTTGAAAGAAAGTCAAGTTCATTTTCATCCTAAAACTTTGTTGGGCTCTATCCCAGGAAGCCACCAGCCAAATATAAAGATTCTATACCTTTTAGTTCTTCAGAAGAAGTCGTTTGAAGTGTTTGACACATTTGACCCCTGTGACCTTGAAAGTAGGTCAAGGTCATTTTCGTTCTCAAACTTTGTCGGGCTTCTACCAACAAACCTTTCAGTCAAATATCATGACTCTAGGCCTGTCCGTTCTTCAGAAGAAGTTGTTTAAAGGAAAAATTGACGGACGAGGACGGACACTGCACCATGACATAAGCTCACTTGCAGTTCACCTGAATATTTAAGCAGTCATAGCAAAATATTCTCATTAAATATTATATTGAACTAAAAATATTTCCCTCGTAAACTTTGTCCACTCCATCTGTTGAAACTACCAGCCAAATATTATTATATTCCCTGTGACCTTTTAAGTAGGTCAATGTTATTTTCCTTCTCATACTTTGTTAGCTCTATTCCAAAAAGCTATCAGCCAAATCTTATGAATCCATTCCTTTTGGTTCTTAAGAACAAATCCTTTAAAATGTTGTTAACCTCTGTGACCTTTAAGGTAGGTTGAGGTCATTTTCATTCGCAAACTTTGGTGAGCTCTTATGAATCCATTCCTTTTGGTTCTTAAGATCAAATCCTTTCTAAATTTGTGGTTGCTGTGTGGTTGTTATAGCAACAAAACCTAAGTAGTTGAATTCCCAGTCCCCTAAAACTCCTAAATACCAATTTTCATCAAAATCGAACAATATTTTAATTTCAACCAATCAGAAGCCTCCATGCTATGTGGTTGATATGGCAACTATCTGAAAATAAAGACTTGAATGAACAATTTACAACAGAAGAAGGATATTTTTTTTATAAATTTATTTTCAATATTGATCAAGGTATTTTCAAACTTTCTATATATATATCAATATCCAACAAAGTTAATATACATAAGGTGTATCATTGTCAGAAATGTATTCCCTTAGACTACTGGCACACACATACACTGATAATACCTTATTTTAGCTATCATCCATACAAGTGACAATTTTGAGGGATGTGTTTGTGAGTATCTAAAAAATATATCAGAAGCATGCGACCATTAAATTTTCAATTCCTTGTTTACTACTATAAACAACAAAGTCCCAGGTTAAAACCTGTTCCTATTTCTCTACCACCCCTCCCTCTACACATTGAAGTCCCAGGGCTTAGAGAAGGTAAAAAGGACATAATAGCAAAGATGATTGACGTTCCTAAGGTGTATAAAACCTGCAATGCATACTAGTATATCACGGAAGCTTCCTGAGGTACACAACACTTTTATTACAATAATGAGCACCATGAATACAGCGAGTTTCCAACTAGGACATGAATCTGATCAGCTCAAGGCTTTGGTAGCCCAATCACTGTACATCCCAGTACTGCCTACTCTAGTCAGTGGAATAATATCAATTAAAGGAAGACTTTTTATACATATAGCCATGACACACTGGCTTCCTCGTCAATTCAAGAAGAAATTAAATGTCAAAATAAGAATCTTCTGCACAAACACTGAAACAACCTATCATTCTGTACTTGAGATCAGCTGAAGCTAAAGTGTCGGAAATAAACCTATCATTCTGTACTTGAGATCAGCTGAAGCTAAAGTGTCGGAAATATTCAGGTATCAAATGAGCAACATTATAGGTCATCCTATTAGTAGCTGCAGCATCACATGATTTTCTGTAAGCCTATTTATACATATGATGACTTCGGAACACACTGAACACATAGTAGGGAGATTACCCCTCCCACTGGCGAGGAGATTGAAACTTGGTATTGAATCTTTTCATCAAAAGCATTGTTTTACCAGAATCAGAACAATTCTTTCCGAACAGAAGGAAATAGCTTATTGGCATTTATAGACATGTTTTGAAGAAATTGGAAATAACAACCAGTTGTAGGGAGATTCTGATTCCTTAGAGGGAGATTCACTTTGTTAAGATAAGTATATGAATATTCCCTACAAAAGGTAGACCACCTTACCCCCAAAACCTTACTCTCACACCTATAAACCTCTACCCCTCCTCACTTACTACATAAACCCATACTTACTACAGATATCCTCACTACCTCGAACACTCAGTCTAATGTAACGAAAATAACATTTCACAAAATCACAACTTGTTTATCATTTGAATATAAATAATTACATAAAAGCTACAAATTTTATTACAAATATATTGGAACACATTTCAATGGTAATTTCATGATATTTAAATAACATAGATATATACAGAGTACATTTCACAGCCTAACACTTAACTATAAATCACTAATAACCTAATGATCGTGACATTGGGAACATATTCTGGAGATATTTCTTACGCACTAAATTCTATAAACTCACTTTCTATAGTTATTTGTGAAGACAAGTATTCACATTGCAGTTAACATGTAGGTTTGACATTATTCATGTCTATAACTTACACAAATATTTACAGGATACTAGAATTTGTTTCATGGTTTCACACAACTTTTAACTGAAATAAATATCACAGGAAACACAAGTTATCTACAGTGATAATCCCCCAATACCATGACTGACTTGGCCATGATTCACTATCATTCAGCTGTAGGACAACATGAAATATCACTTTTATATAAATTATCATATACAGGAAATCCTCCAGCCACCTTTTTTCAAAGAAAGTGTCTAGATTTAATACTTAAAATTTGTGCAGAAAAAGGACAATTGGTCAGCTAACTTATTGGCAAGATAGTTGGCCAGCCATATTAGTACTAGCTAGTGGACCAGGCAAACAAGCGGTTACCAACTGGTCACCAAGCTCACTAGATAGTTGGCCAGCCATCTTAGTATTAGCTAGTGGACCAGGCAAACATGCGGTTACCAACTGGTCACCAAGCTCACTAGATAGTTGGCCAGCCATATTAGTATTAGCTAGTGGACCAGGCAAACAAGTGGTTACCAACTGGTCACCAATCTCACTAGATAGTTGGCCAGCCATATTAGTACTAGCTAGTGGACCAGGCAAACAAGCGGTTACCAACTAGTCACCAAGCTCACTAGATAGTTGGCCAGCAATATTAGTATTAGCTAGTGGACCAGGCAAACAAGCGGTTACCAACTAGTCACCAAGCTCACTAGATAGTTGGCCAGCAATATTAGTATTAGCTAGTGGACTAGGCAAACAAGCGGTTACCAACTGGTCACCAAGCTCACTAGATATTTGGCCAGCCATATTAGTATTAGCTAGTGTACCAGGCAAACAAGCGGTTACCAACTGGTCACCAAGCTCCCTAGATAGTTGGCCAGCCATATTAGTATTAGCTAGTGGACCAGGCAAACAAGGGGTTACCAACTTGTCACCAAGCTCACTAGATAGTTGGTCAGCAAGATTTGTGGTGGCTGGATTAAATGAATCTATGAACAAAGCTACTCAGAATCTAAAAATATAGCTAGCCCCTCTACACAGCCTCAGAATCTAAAAATATAGCTAGCCCCTCTACACAGCCTCAGAATCTAAAAATATAGCTAGCCCCTCTACACAGCCTCAGAATCTAAAAATATAGCTAGCCCCTCTACACAGCCTCAGAATCTAAAAATATAGCTAGCCCCTCTACACAGCCTCAGAATCTAAAAATATAGCTAGCCCCTCTACACAGCCTCAGAATCTAAAAATATAGCTAGCCCCTCTACACAGCCTCAGAATCTAAAAATTTAGCTAGCCCCTCTACACAGCCTCAGAGGATTGGGTGGTTGTAGATATTAAACACTAATTCTTCAACACTTAACTGGTGAGCATAGATTTATATTGAGACAGATCAACTATCCACATATACAGTATTAAGCATTTAGTATTTTTTCAGGAGTAAAAGCACAGCTTGACTGAACACTTGTATACCTTTTTTATGACTACATACCTCTTACCACAAAACATAGCAAAGAGTGACATTACTTTGATTGTGAACCATCAATAAATAGTGCATTACTTAACAACATTTGTCATTTTTCATATTTTAAACGGTTTGGCTCCCTATCCCAACTGTTATTTTCACTGTCATAATTCACTTATAGTAGTACAATCATTCATCCCTATAAGCAGATAAGTACATACAGGAAGTAATCTTACATCCTTATAAGCATATAAGTACATATACAGGAAGTAATCTTACATCCCTATAAGCAGATAAGTACATACAGGAAGTAATCTTACATCCTTATAAGTACATACAGGAAGTAATCTTTCATCCTTATAAGCAGATAAGTACATACAGGAAGTAATCTTACATCGCTTTTCTATTTCAAATAATTTGTTGATTAGTCAGACAGTGTATTTTTCCGTCTATCATAGAATTCCAACTCTAATGATTCTTTTCTTGTGTTTTTACAAGTGAAAATGTTTTCCTTGATCTGATTAATGAGATTCCCTAGTTATCTTGTTAACTTGATTATTGTAACCATACAAATCTTAGAGCAATCTAATTTCAGGCCAGACAAACAAATGTATGTGTTTCCTGTAACATGTTGGAAATATTTAGAGAAGGTAGGTAGGTAACAAATTTTATTTTAACAGATGATTTTATATGGTTTATATAGGAGAGAGTGATCTTGACTGTAACAGTGCTTCTTTGAAAATTGCTTTAAAAAGTTTAGGATAGGCACAAAAAATAAGGGTAGGTAGGGTTACAGGAAACACTAAATATTTTTTGTTTGGCCTTCGCATTTTATAAAAAAATTCAACTGCACTTTGATGAATTTTTGTGTATTTGAGCAATCAAAATTTGGCTTAATATTTAAAGCTCAAGAAAATGCTAACCCAAGACCACAGCTAAAACATGTATGCCTACATTGCTTTCTTTCATGATAAATTCACAGTTGTAAACAAACCCCGTTACGGGGCACAGTTTACATACGAAACAGTCTACATACACAGTAACAATGACTCTATATGGACCCTTATCATGAGAGGGACATCCAGACTGATCCACAGACTACATCAATGCAGTGCTCAACACTCAGTTGACACATATACCTGATCCATCAACCATTGCTTTAGCAATGACATCAAGAGAGATTGACCAACCTTCAGTGGCTACATCAAGCCAGTTCTGGTCCCTCAGTGGCTACATCAAGCCAGTTCTGGTCCCTCAATGAACACTCATTGTCTAATCTTCTAAAGTTCTAACATTCAGCAACTGCATCAAGTCAGTCCTGACTCTCATTGTCCAATTAATAGCGCCTTCTTTGACAACACATAGATACTTTTTTTTCATGCTCATAATCAGGAATTGAAAAAGTCAGCACATAATCCTCCATTGAAGATAAGGTGTAAATTAGATAACACTCCAGTGTATCACAGATATTCGTTATTCATCACACATGCTACATTATAAACACACTGAGCTGAATACAATGACCCTCTAATCGTCCATACAACGTAAGCTATGTACAGTGACCCTCCAGTCGGATTGTCAAACTGTACCCCACATCCACCTTCAGCACCAAGTTCTCCGTATAGTGCCCTGCCTTTGCGGGTGAGAATTCCACAGGTAGCCTCAGGAAGCTTCTTGGACTGCAACAAGAAAATATTATTTCAAAATAAATAAAATTACTAAAATTAATCACGTAAACCAATGGTGCTATAGCAGACAAGTGCTCATAGTTCCATGGCTCTTCACACTTAAAGAACAAGTTTGCAGTCAATTATCACTTGTGTTCTAGAGAATAAGTAAACAAGGGTACTGCAGAATAGTATGACTGTCCCATGTGAAAAAGTGAGAACACTTAGCATAGACCTATATGGGAACATGGGTATATAGTTTGGAATAATTCTCTGCAGCTATTTTTGTGAAGAAGTTGAAAATGTACTGCCCAACCAAAGGCCAGGGTGGCCATCTTTGATAATTGGATTGGCACAAAACGTATGAACACTTGACTGTAAACTCATGCAAAACATTTGTACAGAGTTTGGAGTCAACTGCCACTGCCATCTTGGATCTCTGAATTGGCTTTAAAGGTAGCAACACTTGGTCAGAAGCTTATAAAGAACACTTGTAAGATCAAAGTCAATGGCTTCAGTTGTTCTTGAGAAGGTGGTAATTTCTCCGATTATAAAGAGCCAGTGCATCTGGGTTTTCTTGTTTTCTTTTGAATTGGCACTAAAACTAACAACACTAACTTGGTCAGGACCATGTGTGGACTAAATGACTTCGGTAGTTTTTGAGAAGATGTGAAAAATGTTGAATTGTTAACAGTTGGGGTTGGATGCATTAAGATAGGACAGCAACAACTCCTGATATATTATACGAGTTAAAAATGAGCAAAGGGCCCTATATCTGTATACAATGAGTGATGACACCTGGTGTCTGTAGGTGAAGCAGATCCATCCAAAGGGCCCTATATCTGTATACAATAAGTGATGACACCTGGTGTCTGTAGGTGAAGCAGATCCATCCAAAGGGCCCTATATCTGTATACAATAAGTGATGACACCTGGTGTCTGTAGATGAAGGAGATCCATCCAAAGGGCCCTATATCTGTATACAATGAGTGATGACACCTGGTGTCTGTAGATGAAGGAGATCCATCCAAAGGGCCCTATATCTGTATACAATGAGTGATGACACCTGGTGTCTGTAGATGAAGGAGATCCATCCAATGGGCCCTATATCTGTATACAATGAGTGATGACACTTGGTGTTTGTAGGTGAAGCAGATCCATCCAAAGGGCCCTATATCTGTATACAATGAGTGATGACACCTGGTGTCTGTAGGTGAAGCAGATCCATCCAAAGGGCCCTATATCTGTATACAATGAGTGATGACACCTGGTGTCTGTAGGTGAAGCAGATCCATCCAAAGGGCCCTATATCTGTATACAATGAGTGATGACACCTGGTGTCTGCTCGTTACCAAGCAAGGACAAACTAAAATGTCGGCACTTCCTTAGAAACGATAGTCAGAAAAGATGGGGAGGATCTCAAAAACCAGAAAACAATACTTAGAAAAAAAATGAAAAAAAAATTCAATTGAAAGCTTTTTAACTTGCACTGTCAGCTTTAAAGTTATAGCTTTATTAGTAGCCCTTTCCTTTAAATCTTTATATTTATTGGCGATCATTTCCTTGATGTAAAAGCCTGTATGGTTATAGTAATTTGAGGTGATGATTACTTACCGTATGCTTATGTTGGTATGATTTATCCTAAATGGTAATGAAGGCTGTGCAATTTCAATCTGGAAAAGAAATACAAGTACATCTTAATGGACCTATAGAGACTAAAACCTCACTGCGGCATTCGGGGGTATGAACTCTCTTCAGTTATTTACTTGGACATGTAACAGACAGCTGGCATAGCAAACCTAAAGAAACACCCAGCTATATTGATAGGATCATAAAAAAAAAAAAGCTAAAAGAATATCTGAATTCCACAAATTTGAAATAACTGAACATCAAACATAACATCAAAAAATGTAACTCACCGAGTGCAGAGTCTTTGACTCATTCTTCAGGTGGACCTTACACATGACGGTGGCCTGGACTCTACAGTTTGGGAAGTGGATATCATTGCTCTTGTCCTTCAGGACCACAGGTTTCATCTCCTTGTCCAATCTGGGCAGATATAACATCCTCAGGTAAAACTACTGTTTCACATTGTACTTGAGTTGTTTTTATTAAGATTCATTGACATGGTAACAAAACAACTTATTCGATCAATTTTTCTTTTTATAAATGTGCAAGTTTCTATGCATACCTGTTTGATTTTATGAAATATTGATATGAGCTTCTAGATTATTGGAAAGATCAGGACCGTGTTAAATTTCTTTTGAAAATACCAGTACGATTTCCTAGATATATATACATATCTGAATTATTCTCCAGATTCATATGAAATATCTGTATGATTTCCTATATATATATCTATATGCTTATATTTTTCCATTAATTCACTAAACCTTCAAGATTAATTCTTTACCGTAACTGGTCTTTGGTTACAAGCTAGCTGAGGGCATATGCAATAACATTAGCATATTTCAGTGATAACTGCCTTTTTGTTTACATATTACGCATATTTCATGTCGTAGAATTGTTTAGAAGTGTTTGATTATCACACATTTACATACCTATGAGTCTCCAGCCCTTGTTGTAGTATTGTTTCGAAGTGTTTGATTATCACAGTTTTACATACCTATGAGAGTCTCCAGCCCTTGTTGTAGTATAGTTTAGAAGGGTTTGATTATCACACATTTACATACCTATGAGATTCTCCAGCCCTTGTTGTAGTATAGTTTAGAAGTGTGTGATTATCACACATTTACATACCTATGAGATTCTCCAGCCCTTGTTGTAGTATAGTTTAGAAGTGTGTGATTATCACACATTTACATACCTATGAGTCTCCAGCCCTTGTTTTAGTATTGTTTCGAAGTGTTTGATTATCACACTTTTACATACCTATGAGAGTCTCCAGCCCTGGTTGTAGTATAGTTTAGAAGTGTTTGATTACCACACATTTACATACCTATGAGAGTCTCCAGCCCTTGTTGTAGTATTGTTTCGAAGTGTTTGATTATCACACATTTACATACCTATGAGAGTCTCCAGCCCTTGTTGTAGCATAGTTTAGAAGTGTTTGATTATCACACATTTACGTACCTATGAGAGTCTCCATCCCTTGTTGTAGTATAGTTTAGAAGTGTTTGATTATCACGCATTTACATACCTATGAGAGTCTCCAGCCCTTGTTGTAGTATAGTCTCGAAGTGTTTGATTATCACACATTTACATACCTATGAGATTCTCCAGCCATTGTTGTAGTATACTTTAGAAGTGTTTGATTATCACACATTTACGTACCTATGAGAGTCTCCATCCCTTGTTGTAGTATAGTTTAGAAGTGTTTGATTATCTCACATTTACATACCTATGAGAGTCTCCAGCCCTGGTTGTAGTATAGTTTAGAAGTGTTTGATTATCACGCATTTACATACCTATGAGAGTCTCCAGCCCGTGTTGTAGTATAGTTTAGAAGTGTTTGATTATCTCACATTTACATACCTATGAGAGTCTCCAGCCCTTGTTGTAGCATAGTTTAGAAGTGTTTGATTATCACACATTTACGTACCTATGAGAGTCTCCAGCCCTTGTTGTAGTATTGTTTCGAAGTGTTTGATTATCACACATTTACATACCTATGAGATTCTCCAGCCCTTGTTGTAGTATTGTTTCGAAGTGTTTGATTATCACACATTTACATACCTATGAGATTCTCCAGCCCTTGTTGTAGTATTGTTTCGAAGTGTTTGATTATCACACATTTACATACCTATGAGAGTCTCCAGCCATTGTTGTAGTATACTTTAGAAGTGTTTGATTATCACACATTTACGTACCTATGAGAGTCTCCAGCCCTTGTTGTAGTATAGTTAAGAAGTGTTTGATTATCACACATTTACATACCTATGAGATTCTCCAGCCATTGTTGTAGTATACTTTAGAAGTGTTTGATTATCACACATTTACGTACCTATGAGAGTCTCCATCCCTTGTTGTAGTATAGTTTAGAAGTGTTTGATTGTCACACATTTACATACCTATGAGAGTCTCCAGCCATTGTTGTAGTATACTTTAGAAGTGTTTGATTATCACACATTTACATACCTATGAGAGTCTCCAGCCATTGTCCTGGACTCCCTCTTGTTCCTGAGAGATGGTGCCTCCTTGCCCAGAGTACTTGTTGACCTGGTTTTGTCCCCTTGCCCCCGGTATCTCTGTTTCGGTGCAACCCTACTGGTGTCCTCTATATTCTCCTTGTTTACAGAACCTGGTAAACTATTTCCCTCCTTTTCTAAACCCTGTAAAAAAGTTCTGGACTTTGAACTTGATGTCTATCATCGTCCATAACAGGCACTTAAGTAAATCTATTAAATATATACATACTGCTGAGTAAAATCTTACTTCATGAGTAAAACTTAGTGGGGCAAGTGTCCTCAGATGTGGGTCATAGTGACCAGTAACATAGTTAGAGATGCTTTGACAGATTTTCTAGGCCAACACAAAAGTATGATGGTCTTCCTGGCTCTATCCTTCAAAGTGTTACATATAAAAGCAGATGAATGTGTCTGTCTGTATAAACAACAATGGCTTATGCATACACAGTAAACGGGAGTGAATCTTCTACATATCAGGCTTTCCAAGGATATCCTAAACACGTTTTTTCCTTTACACATTCTTTTATTTTACTAACAGTGTTTTAGGATGAACAAAGTAGGATGTTTATCATTAGATAACCTACATAAATATCAAGTCGATGATACTCTTTCAAAATCTGTATTGTGCTTTGTTTCTTGGCTCCTCAAAGCAGATTTGCACTCCAATAAGATTGGTTAAGTGATGTCTTTTTGCTAGCTGTATTTCAGACAGCTTGTATAGTTTTTAATTATATAAATGTAATTATATATAAACATACATTTATTTATTTTTTCATGTACATACATTTATTTATTTTTTCATGTTTTACATGGAAAGGGAAGACAATTTATGTGCCCATGTTAGGATGTTTGGGTTTCTAGTATGATCACTAGCAAGTTATCTCTTGTAGACTATTATATCCAATTGGTTTATTGTCAATGGTAGGTCAGAATAATGCACATATATAATGCAAAATTGACTATGAATCCTGATAAATAATTGTTTGTGCATGGTAAGGATGTAATGTGTTTTGTCCCTTGTTATTTGACACATACATTTTACAGTTGCTTTGTGTCATTAAGATGCCACGGAGATGTGTGTTATTAGGTTGGCACGGAGATGTGTGTCATTAGGTTGGCACGGAGATGTGTGTCATTAGGTTGGCACTGAGATGTGTGTCATTAGGTTGGAACTGAGATGTGTGTCATTAAGATGCCACGGAGATGTGTGTTATTAGGTTGGCACGGAGATGTGTGTCATTAGGTTGGCACTGAGATGTGTGTCATTAGGTTGGCACGGAGATGTGTGTCATTAGGTTGGCACGAGATGTGTGTTGTTTGATGAACAGTCTTATTTCTGCTGGTCCTGATGGTATTATTTGAAACACAACCACACATTTCCCAGGCTACCGTGAATGTGGTTCTTCGGTTGATCTTAGGTTCACGCAGTGTTTGGGTAGTACTTGTCATAAACAGATATTAACAATTTCTTCAGAATACACATGGGATTTATATTCTAGAGTAAAATTCTGAATATCTAAATTTTTAACTGAAAGCTGACATGAACTGTATCCTCTGATGTCCATACCTCCCCACACAGCTGTACCCGGACTGTGTGCGACTTCTTGGAACTCTCTGAGGCTTCATTTGACTGTATATCCCAGTGTTGGGAGAACATTCCTTTTGACCTTGGTATAAACTGTACTTGCAGCTGAAGAAGAGAGAAGCAAGATGAAGAGGGCTGAAAACCACAGTTGTATTAATGTTCTTGATGTAACAGTCTCAATCCATATAAAGCATACATTTTTCTTGGTAAAAAAGTCCCTTTATTATATTAATTTTTCGTAACAACATCACACTAAGATTTCTGGATATTGTCTCCACCAATCAGGAACTAATCAGAACAGGCATATCATCATTCACCTTATCAAATATTAAAATTCCTCTTTTTACTTGATGCAAATATTACTACTTTAAACACACATCTACTGCCTTAGTTTGGTCAGGCTGTTGATAAGTTATTTTCAGTAACCAAAAACTCTTCCACCCATAATAAACTCATTACTACCTTAGCATCCTTCCGGCCCGTAATTTGTCCATATTTCTCAGCAAACTCAAAAACTTTGTAGGTAGCTCTGAACACATCTCGAGAACTGTCTGCTCCCTTTAATACAAAACCACAACAAATACATTCACAAACTCTAAATGAATTTGATCGAAATTGAAACGTACTATTGGATCATAACCACAGACAAAAACATTTGTTTTTCTAATAAATTACGAGAAAAAAGTTGATCCTATTCTCCTTCCTACATGTAACTTTTGCTTAGGTAAAAATATGACACATGATCTATCAATTTTCATAGTATATGTTAAACAGTAATTCTAATTTTATGTTACACAAGATCCATACCATCAGAACTCAGTAAGTTCCTGTCTGTAGGCCAGCGTAACATCTCACCAGTAACAATTTTACACCAAGAAAAGATTTTCATCCAAATTGCAGACTCATAACCAATTTGTATTCACAATTGAGTAACCTGTTGATAATCCTGTGGTTTACATGTTACTGACCTTGACATATGGCGGGGCGAATGAGGACAGAATCCACTTGATGGTGTCCTTGGAGTAGTTGGTCATGTCTATACAGGAAACTGCAATGTCAACAAGTTATAGCTATAAGTAGGAATGTCAACATCACATGATCAAAACATTGAAATCAAATGTCAACACGTTATAGCTATAAGTAGAAATGTCAACATCACATGATCAAAACATTGAAATCAAATGTCAACAAGTTATAGCTATAAGTAGAAATGTCAACATCACATGACAAAGACACTACAATGTCAACAACAGTTATATTTATAAGAACAAATTTAAATGTTAAGACATAATCAAGATAATGCAATGGCAACAAGGATACCATGAAGCGGAACATAACACGCCCATCATACATTGAAAGAGTGGTTGTCTGTATAGTTGTACAGAAAGGGCCATACCTCCATAAAATATGGTGCGATAATTGCAGTTATCGAATCATCCGAGCTATCATGGTAATGATCCTTCCTATAAAGTTTGCAGTTAATCAGTAGAAAACTACTCGAGGTATCGAGCAGACACTGTTTCGGCAATTGAATAAAGGGCCATAACTCCGTAAATTATGGTCAGATAATTGCGGTTATCGACCTTGTCAAAGCTAGCATGGTATTTAATCTTCCTATGAAGTTTGAAGTTAATTCATTGAAAACTACTAAAGATATCAGTGTACACTGTTTAAGCAAATGAATAAACAGCCATAACTCCGGCAATTAACCTTTCTATGAAGTTTAAAGTTAATCCGCTGAAAACTACTTGAGATATCGACTGGACACCGTTTGTGACTGCCCGCTCAAGTGATAACATAATATGTTCCGTCCTTCAACAGGCGTACAAAAACCATCAATAAATCAACCACCTTTATTATTCTAAAAGGTGGATAGATTGTGAGACAGCTGAATAACTTGAACAGTTGTATATACAACAAGCAAATTCGTGGAATTTATATCCCCCGCTTGCAGGACATATTGTAGGTTAACATTATTGAGGTTAGGTTTAAACACGCGAGTTTCATGCTGTTGAGACATAATGTAAAGCTTGAAACTTGAAGAAAAAAAAAGCCCTATACCTCATTGATTATCTGTAAATATGCACAAATCACATTGGTTGGCAAACTTAGCATGAGTCGGATGTGCATAAGGAATTTGGTTGAAACATCTGAACAATATCTACAGCAATTATCACACGAAAACCAAGAGTGCCCGAGATAGGTGAAAAGAAAGAGGAACACAAATATTGTTATCAAGTTTGAAGGAATCTGGCTAATATTTGCTAGAGTTATTACCGGTAAGCAGAAACTGCAGATAATGACGTTTTTCGTTAATCAAGGGGCCATAACTCTGCCAAATGGAGTCGGATTAAAGTGGTTACTAACTTGGCCGAGCCCTTAAGGCATTTAACCCTCTGATCAAGTTTGAAGAAAATCGGTTTACATTTGTTGTAGTTATTGCACAGAAACGAAACAGATAATGACGTTTTTCGTTATTCAAGGGGCCATAACTCTGCCAAATGGGGTCTGATCTAAGTGGTCATAGAACTTGGCTGAGCCCTTAAGGCATTTAACCCTGTGACCAAGTTTGAAAAAAATCAGATAACATTTGTTGTAGTTATTGCTCGGAAACAAAGCGTGACAGACAGACAGACAGACAGACAGACGTACAAACCAAAATTAATATCCCACGTTTTCGGTGAAAGCGGGGGATAAAAAGGACAATATGTCCCCTGAAATGGTGGCTGGACAGCGATACACACTGATAAGAAGGAGCTAACTTAGAGAGGTTTGTCTGGATATGAGAGGTAATATTTTCATTTAGGTCCAATACAGACTTTATCTGATCTAGGGCAGGGAGAGACATGATGCAGGATAATGCTCACCTGATTGCTCCCCAACCTTTGTTGGGGGGAATGTAATGGTTGTTGTGGAGATCTGTAGCCCTGTAGGGGTGTCATGTGACCCAAAGATAGCCAATGAAGTGGACGGTGTGGCAGATGTGGTACTCAAAGGAACGAGTGTATTGTTGTTGACTAAGGAACTGCCATCAAGAATTAAGTCATTTCGTATTTGAACACGAAGAACCTGTGAATTTTAATGATAGTATTAAATATAATGATCATTGAACAAAATATCATCACAACCTTACAAGATTTATCTCCCCAGATGTCCATCAATCTACTCGTCAATGTGTATACAAATAATGGTAACATTGAGTCATTGAACAAAATATCATCACAACCTTACAAGATTTATCTCCCCAGATGTCCATCTTAAATGATTTGTGACCTTATAATGTATTTCTGAACTTTTTCTTCACTGGTCATTTGTCTGATGAAGGTGACCGTGTACATATCGTACTAGTCATCGAAACGTCACATAAAAGTTTTATTGGTTGTGTAAACTCTTCATTATAAATACCTTATACTGGTTGTCACAGATGACATGTATGGTGCCACTCCAGGGGAGCTGGTCATAGCTCTGGAACACAGCAGCACTCGGGCTCAGACACACAGAACTGCTACTCCTGGATCAACACAACAGTTGTACTACAATGTACAGGCTTTCTGATGCACTCTGATTTATATGATATAGGTGAATATGAGAATTCAACATGATATGAGACATTGATGAAGAAACAATAGAAAGCTAATTATCCCAAAATACAACCATTCAAGTTGTGTTTAACAAATGCAAACATTCAAGTTGTAATTATCATATAAAACTGTTCAAATTCCTTTCATCATATACAACTGCTCAAATTGTATTTTCAGATACAGCCTTAAAATTGTTTTATCCTAATAGACATGAAGATAACACTGTATGAAATCAAAACTGTTTACATAAATAACATCTAAATTATCGTGAACACGATCCACTCTAGACAGCGTGAATCCTGCAAGCATACACCCCAGAATCATCTCTGTAATTACTTCACTAATTACAAGGACGTAACAACTGTAACACCACAAACAATAAGGATAATAGCTAGTAAAGAGGACAATAAGCATCTGTGACAGTGACACAGTTAACCCTCTCACTTGTACACTTACTTTGGCTCCACCGTGCCTTTCTCAGGTGTGAGTTTGATCCAGTGTCCTGGCCAGGACAGCTCATACCTATCAAGTACATAAAACAATCTCTTGAAAACAGGAAGAAAGTTAATGTCAAACACACAACCAAATACAGATCTTCTGATTGGTAAAATTTTAAGCACGTAAGATTTTGACGTTCCTCATCAAACTTACACAACAGAATGGAGGTAGAAAGCGTGAGGATAAATCAATGTCTGGTAAAAGCAGCACGTTCAAATCTTCTCCTTTTAGATCATGTATATTTATTAATAGAAGGTATTTTTTACATTAATGAAAAAGTCAACACCAGAGGCAAGTGAGAAGCATAGCTCAACACTGCCCCTGTGGTTCTTACAACGAACACTAACACTCGGTCAAAAATATGCATTCACACAGTAATTTATATGGCACTAGGTTATCTAATATAAATCTTAGAGATTCAGCTCACATACTTACATCATTTTTCTGTTAAGGAAGTTTACTATCACAAATTTTTGGATTTGAAGTTTCTCATCCCCTGTTAAAAGAAACAAAAAAGCATATTTACAATTTACTGTTTTTATCAATGTATGAAAACCTAGTATTCCGCTTGGAGACACTTCCTATGGTATATATAAATGTGAGGATGATCTGCTCTGGCTGTAGGGTTCACAGCCATAGGATACCTACGTTTATTGGGAACATTGAGGATGATCTGCTCTGGCTGTAGGGTCCACAGCCTTAGAATACCTACGTTTATTGGAAACATTGAGGATGATCTGCTCTGGCTGTAGGGTCCACAGCCTTAGAATACCTATGTTTATTGGAAACATTGAGGATGATCTGCTCTGGCTGTAGGGTCCACAGCCTTAGAATACCTACGTTTATTGGAAACATTGAGGATGATCTACTCTGGCTGTAGGGTTCACAGACTTAGAATACCTACGTTTATTGGGAACATTGAAGATGATCTGCTCTGGCTGTAGGGTTCACAGCCTTAGAATACCTACGTTTATTGGGAACATTGAAGATGATCTGCTCTGGCTGTAGGGTTCCCAGCCTTAGAATACCTACGTTTATTGGGAACATTGAGGATGATCTGCTCTGGCTGTAGGGTCCACAGCCATAGGATACCTACGTTTATTGGGAACATTGAAGATGATCTGCTCTGGCTGTAGGGTTCACAGTCTTAGAATACCTACGTTTATTGGGAACATTAAGGATGATCTGCTCTGGCTGTTGGGTTCACAGCCTTAGAATACCTACGTTTATTGGGAACATTGAGGATGATCTGCTCTGGCTGTAGGGTCCACAGCCTTAGAATACCTACGTTTATTGGGAACATTGAGGATGATCTGCTCTGGCTGTAGGGTCCACAGCCTTAGAATACCTACGTTTATTGGGAACATTGAGGATGATCTGCTCTGGCTGTAGGGTCCACAGCCTTAGAATACCTACGTTTATTGGGAACATTGAGGATGATCTGCTCTGGCTGTAGGGTCCACAGCCTTAGAATACCTACGTTTATTGGGAACATTGAGGATGATCTGCTCTGGCTGTAGGGTCCACAGCCTTAGAATACCTACGTTTATTGGGAACATTGAGGATGATCTGCTCTGGCTGTAGGGTCCACAGCCTTAGAATACCTACGTTTATTGGGAACATTGAGGATGATCTGCTCTGGCTGTAGGGTCCACAGCCTTAGAATACCTACGTTTATTGGGAACATTGAGGATGATCTGCTCTGGCTGTAGGGTCCACAGCCTTAGAATACCTACGTTTATTGGGAACATTGAGGATGATCTGCTCTGGCTGTAGGGTCCACAGCCTTAGAATACCTACGTTTATTGGGAACATTGAGGATGATCTGCTCTGGCTGTAGGGTCCACAGCCTTAGAATACCTACGTTTATTGGGAACATTGAGGATGATCTGCTCTGGCTGTAGGGTCCACAGCCTTAGAATACCTACGTTTATTGGGAACATTGAGGATGATCTGCTCTGGCTGTAGGGTCCACAGCCTTAGAATACCTACGTTTATTGGGAACATTGAGGATGATCTGCTCTGGCTGTAGGGTCCACAGCCTTAGAATACCTACGTTTATTGGGAACATTGAGGATGATCTGCTCTGGCTGTAGGGTCCACAGCCTTAGAATACCTACGTTTATTGGGAACATTGAGGATGATCTGCTCTGGCTGTAGGGTCCACAGCCTTAGAATACCTACGTTTATTGGGAACATTGAGGATGATCTGCTCTGGCTGTAGGGTCCACAGCCTTAGAATACCTACGTTTATTGGGAACATTGAGGATGATCTGCTCTGGCTGTAGGGTCCACAGCCTTAGAATACCTACGTTTATTGGGAACATTGAGGATGATCTGCTCTGGCTGTAGGGTCCACAGCCTTAGAATACCTACGTTTATTGGGAACATTGAGGATGATCTGCTCTGGCTGTAGGGTCCACAGCCTTAGAATACCTACGTTTATTGGGAACATTGAGGATGATCTGCTCTGGCTGTAGGGTCCACAGCCTTAGAATACCTACGTTTATTGGGAACATTGAGGATGATCTGCTCTGGCTGTAGGGTCCACAGCCTTAGAATACCTACGTTTATTGGGAACATTGAGGATGATCTGCTCTGGCTGTAGGGTCCACAGCCTTAGAATACCTACGTTTATTGGGAACATTGAGGATGATCTGCTCTGGCTGTAGGGTCCACAGCCTTAGAATACCTACGTTTATTGGGAACATTGAGGATGATCTGCTCTGGCTGTAGGGTCCACAGCCTTAGAATACCTACGTTTATTGGGAACATTGAGGATGATCTGCTCTGGCTGTAGGGTCCACAGCCTTAGAATACCTACGTTTATTGGGAACATTGAGGATGATCTGCTCTGGCTGTAGGGTCCACAGCCTTAGAATACCTACGTTTATTGGGAACATTGAGGATGATCTGCTCTGGCTGTAGGGTCCACAGCCTTAGAATACCTACGTTTATTGGGAACATTGAGGATGATCTGCTCTGGCTGTAGGGTCCACAGCCTTAGAATACCTACGTTTATTGGGAACATTGAGGATGATCTGCTCTGGCTGTAGGGTCCACAGCCTTAGAATACCTACGTTTATTGGGAACATTGAGGATGATCTGCTCTGGCTGTAGGGTCCACAGCCTTAGAATACCTACGTTTATTGGGAACATTGAGGATGATCTGCTCTGGCTGTAGGGTCCACAGCCTTAGAATACCTACGTTTATTGGGAACATTGAGGATGATCTGCTCTGGCTGTAGGGTCCACAGCCTTAGAATACCTACGTTTATTGGGAACATTGAGGATGATCTGCTCTGGCTGTAGGGTCCACAGCCTTAGAATACCTACGTTTATTGGGAACATTGAGGATGATCTGCTCTGGCTGTAGGGTCCACAGCCTTAGAATACCTACGTTTATTGGGAACATTGAGGATGATCTGCTCTGGCTGTAGGGTCCACAGCCTTAGAATACCTACGTTTATTGGGAACATTGAGGATGATCTGCTCTGGCTGTAGGGTCCACAGCCTTAGAATACCTACGTTTATTGGGAACATTGAGGATGATCTGCTCTGGCTGTAGGGTCCACAGCCTTAGAATACCTACGTTTATTGGGAACATTGAGGATGATCTGCTCTGGCTGTAGGGTCCACAGCCTTAGAATACCTACGTTTATTGGGAACATTGAGGATGATCTGCTCTGGCTGTAGGGTCCACAGCCTTAGAATACCTACGTTTATTGGGAACATTGAGGATGATCTGCTCTGGCTGTAGGGTCCACAGCCTTAGAATACCTACGTTTATTGGGAACATTGAGGATGATCTGCTCTGGCTGTAGGGTCCACAGCCTTAGAATACCTACGTTTATTGGGAACATTGAGGATGATCTGCTCTGGCTGTAGGGTCCACAGCCTTAGAATACCTACGTTTATTGGGAACATTGAGGATGATCTGCTCTGGCTGTAGGGTTCACAGCCGAAGGATACCTACGTTTATTGGGAACATTGAGGATGATTTGCTCTGGCTGTAGGGTCCAGCTGTCTTGGTCTGTCTCATTGTAAAGTGGCAGTGCTGGAAGCACTGGCATGGTATTGCGCATGGATATAGATTCTGATCTGTAAACAATATATCACTTTTATGTTACGGGATTACATGGATTCTCTGTTAACATAATTACAGCTGATTGAGTTAAGGTTGAGGATTACATTGATTCTTTTTAAACAAGATATCACTAATGATTGCTGTCGGTTGGAGGATTACACTATTTGGAATTGGATGCACTTTCCAAAAGTATTCTACTTTAAATAACTGTGACATTCTCTGGACTTGTTAAGTACACATTATAACATTTAGTGTCATACAGGATGTCCTGTATGGAGTTTGGAGGAATGAAGTCTACGACTGACAGTGACTTCGACATTTGAACATTTGAATTGAAAAGCAATCACATACAAACAATCTAGAACCATAAATGTACTTTGTTTATAAACATGAGTTAACTCGTGACACTGAGAAGGTTATTTTCTCTTTATAGTAATAGAGACCTTTACCTTTGACTTAAAAAACAGAACAAACATAAGTAAATCCTGTTATATCTTCTCTGATCATTTAAAACAGGAAGATATCAACCACATCCATGTTGTTAACAAACATTTACAATTAATGTGCAGTAGGTCACAAACAGTGTAATGCAAAGCTGCTTTACAATAAACAAAATGTAAATTAGACAGGACGTGATCTATTGTGAGTGTATATTGTTATTATCACACCTGTTCTGTACTGTGTCCTTGACCGGTACAACACATGTAGAACTGTAGCTTGGCTCCTGTACGACGTCAGCTGATCTGATTGTTCTATATACGGGTGGGGTTACTGTCATCGACTCCACAGCAGTCTTCTGGGGTTCCCCCACCAGTAACACCATCACACGTAGCATAGCAGAGTAGAACAGGTCTACCTCTGTCTGAGGACTCCCAATCTTCTGACCTATAACACACAATACCAGACCAATAATCCAGACATCTTAGTACGGATAAAGCAACAGACAAAAAAACGTATGTGTCAGCAAATGATTGAGACAGTTGATTCAAATTGTAAAAGAGGAGAAATATGTGTAAATATATTATATCATTGTATATTTGTGTATGAGAAGACATCTTACCATTCGTACAGATATCTTACCTGTGTGTAGATACCTTAAGGGTGATTATACAGAAATGTTACCTGTGTGTACAGATACCTTAAGGTTGATTGTACTGAAATGTTACATGTGTGTACAGATAACTTAAGGGTGATTGTACAGAAATGTTACCTGTGTGTACAGATACCTTAAGGGTGATTGTACAGAAATGTTACCTGTGTGCACAGATAACTTAAGGGTGATTATACAGAAATGTTACCTGTGTGTACAGATACCTTAAGGGTGATTGTACAGAAATGTTACCTGTGTGTACAGATTCCTTAAGGGTGATTGTACAGAAATGTTACCTGTGTGTTCAGATAACTTAAGGGTGATTGTACAGAAATGTTACCTGTGTGTACAGATGCCTTAAGGGTGATTGTACAGAAATGTTACCTGTGTGTACAGATAACTTAAGGGTGATTGTACAGAAATGTTACCTGTGTGCACAGACACCTTAAGGGTGATTGTACAGAAATGTTACCTGTGTGTACAGAGAACTTAAGGGTGATTGTACAGAAATGTTACCTGTGTGTACAGAGAACTTAAGGGTGATTGTACAGAAATGTTACCTGTCGGTGTATACTCCACAGATTCCTCATCCAGGTAGTGGTTACAAAAACTTATTGTTTTCAACAACACATCCTCAGTCGTCTTCAAAGGTTTGGATTGTCTCCCTTGATCGATGGCTCTGTGGTAGACAGGATGAATCAAAAATCTCTAGCGTAAAAATCTTAGCAAAATCTCAAAAATAGGTGACAAAACAGATGTGAATTTAAATTGAAACATATTTTTATAACAGACTGAGACAAATGATATTCACTTGTCATAGCATCACGTAACTTAGAAATCACTTACCCTCTCATTTTTTGCCGACTTATTTCGTCTCCATAGAGAAAAGAGACAACGCCTACCACATCCTTGTGGTCAAGGCATAGGGCACTTTCTCTGTGGGTTGGGTTAAGCACCATCACCACAGTCTACAGCCAAACAAACACACTTTGTTATAGGTTATACATAAGTTGGTAGATTTTTAATAATTCATGTCAAATATGATGTGATGTAAGTAATAAACAAATGAAACGTATGGATACATATCTACACAATCATTACTTATCCATTCATATCACTATCTCTGAACACAAAGTATAGCAAAAATTTATTACATTTAGTACTTACCCTTGTAGCCTGAACCCCAAGTACAAATTCATTTGGTTCAACCAAAACTCGACCAGGAACTAGGGCTTGTTTACATCTCAAATCTGAAACAAATAGCTCAATTTGAACTCTTTCATAACAAAACCTGACCTTTCTAGCAACTTTAGTTCCTTTTTGGCATGATTTTGTCACTTTTTGTTATTAATCTTCTGGATGTATTTGATATAATCTACTATTATTCAATGCATTGGTATTAAACATGCCAAGTGTTATTCCACTGAACAACAGCACAGGTGTACATATGTCCCTCAGAAGTCATATTCATGTCCTTAACTCAATTAAGCAAGTGAACATCATTTCTTATAGTCTGTTTTTAATTTCACTGACATCCAATCATATTTTTGGAAGGTATGATGTAAAGTGCTTAGATGTGCTATATTTTGCCATTGTCAATCTAAGGCTCTGTCTTCCATCGATGTATTACAATCTCCACGTCTGCATTTTAGACTATTCGCACAGACGTGATGTAAATAACACCCTTTATTTATTCATTTATGTGCATATTGCAATGATTATCTTTTTGCTTAATCTATAATATGGTGATTGGTAGCCATTTTTGTTTCACAATTATAACTAAAACTATTATCCATACGTTGTAAAGTGCTTTAGAATAATTTTACAAATTATAGAAGGCATTATGTAAAGGCTGTATATTACTATTATTATTATTATTGAGCAAAGATAAGGTGTAGGCACTAATAATTTCTGGACAGACTAATGCCATACCATAAAACAACTCACCAAAGAAAGGCATGTTAAAGTATCCCAATCACATAGAAAGTCCACCATTTTTTTGGAGGGCAAGATTATGATGTAGGCACTTAATTCCTTCATTTATACTGTGGACCCTAAATACCTATTAACCATATAATTTAGTTTTCCCTCCTATTAACTGTCCTGCCATCTTACCAGTACAGCACACAGATCGTATGTAGGCTGGACGACTTCCAATGTTGCGGAGGGTGACCCTCTTTGCGATGCGCTGGCCTACAGACATCTCGCCCATATCTAGCCAGTAATGGTCCTTTTCAGACACTTTGGCTCCCTCTATGATAACGTTGCCTATTCCACCGTAACCACTCAGAGGAATCTAGTTAACAGACAACCAAAACACTCAAGAGGACTCTAGTAAACAGACAACCAGAAAAGTATTCCCGTTAAAATAAATTAGCACCTTGTTTGCTCTTGTAGGAAGAGATTGCCATTTAAAAAAAAAAATCAATTTATTCCATACATTTGTTGCAATTAATATGAAAGTGAGTAACACGAACAGAAGAATTATACTGAAGTGGAACGCTATGGAAGATTGCAAGTAAACTAAATATATCAATTAAATTCTTTACCGAGTATTTAAATGTTGACATGGAGTGCTTGAGAACAAGCTTGCCAGTTGATTCACAGACAGAGGACGGGGCAAACACAATGTGTACTGGGTACTTCTCCATGGGTTTGATGATCACGTCCCGAGCTCGTGTTGACATCTCTTTCTGATCACTGTTAAAACTACCCTGTAGCTGTAAAAATATAATATAATCATGGCCTTGTAAACTTGAGGTCTGAGTGTCCTAATACTACTATATAAAATAGTAAATGACCTGGTAGCGATTCCCCAGAACCCTTAAGCTTCATTAAACCCAAAATCAACGAACTCAACNTTACCAGTACAGCACACAGATCGTATGTAGGCTGGACGACTTCCAATGTTGCGGAGGGTGACCCTCTTTGCGATGCGCTGGCCTACAGACATCTCGCCCATATCTAGCCAGTAATGGTCCTTTTCAGACACTTTGGCTCCCTCTATGATAACGTTGCCTATTCCACCGTAACCACTCAGAGGAATCTAGTTAACAGACAACCAAAACACTCAAGAGGACTCTAGTAAACAGACAACCAGAAAAGTATTCCCGTTAAAATAAATTAGCACCTTGTTTGCTCTTGTAGGAAGAGATTGCCATTTAAAAAAAAAAATCAATTTATTCCATACATTTGTTGCAATTAATATGAAAGTGAGTAACACGAACAGAAGAATTATACTGAAGTGGAACGCTATGGAAGATTGCAAGTAAACTAAATATATCAATTAAATTCTTTACCGAGTATTTAAATGTTGACATGGAGTGCTTGAGAACAAGCTTGCCAGTTGATTCACAGACAGAGGACGGGGCAAACACAATGTGTACTGGGTACTTCTCCATGGGTTTGATGATCACGTCCCGAGCTCGTGTTGACATCTCTTTCTGATCACTGTTAAAACTACCCTGTAGCTGTAAAAATATAATATAATCATGGCCTTGTAAACTTGAGGTCTGAGTGTCCTAATACTACTATATAAAATAGTAAATGACCTGGTAGCGATTCCCCAGAACCCTTAAGCTTCATTAAACCCAAAATCAACGAACTCAACAACAAGAGGCCCAGAGGGCCTGTATTACTCACCTGGATATCTAAGCAATCATGGCAAAATATTCTCCAAATGAGATCCAAGGGAATATGCCAGACCCCAAGGCCAATCCTTGTAGCATATATGTATTAAATTTTTCATGCCCAGCAATTTTATGTATGGTTATGGGGTGGGAATCTCAACTGTGACTCAGAAACTAGGTCCATAGGTTGTGGCCAGACCCCAGGATCAATTCTAATATCATGACTGTATTCGTCTCTTTTTGCCCAGCATTTGTATTTATAGTTTTGAAGTGGGGATCTCAACCGTTTCAAAGTTATGACCCAGGGGTTAAGTCTGCAAAGGTGGGGCAGACCCTGGGATCCATTCTAATATCATGACTGCATTAGTCTCTTTATGCCCAACAATTGTATACATAGTTTTGGGGTGGGGATCTTAACCATTTTGAAGTTATGACCCAGGGGTTAAGTCTCCAAGGCTGGGGCAGACCCCAAGGCCATCCTGGAAGCATATGTGCATTCATTTCTTTATACTCAGCAATTGTATATATGGTTTTTGAGTGGGGATCTTAACTGTTTCCAAGCTGTGACTCAGAAACTAGGTCCCTAGGGGTTCGGTCAGACCCCAGGGTCTATTCTAATATCATGACTGCATTCGTCTCTTTATGCCCAGCATTTGTATATATAGTTTTGGGGAGGGGATCTCAACTGTTTCAAAGTTATGACAGAGGGACTATGTCCCCAAGGGTGGGGCCAGACCCTAGGGCCATCCTGGAAGCAACTATGCATTCTTCTCTTTATACTCACAATTGTATAAATGGTTATATGGTGGGGATCTCAACCATTTCCAAGTAATAAACTTTTTGTGGCCCAACCCCTTAGCCCGGGGGGGTCAGCAACAAAATTTGTACAATTATGAATCCCTACCTCCTATGAATGCTTCCGACCAAATATGGTCGATATCCATGGCACAGTTCTACAGAAGAAGCTGTTTATAGCAATTTAGCCAAATTGCCCCCTTTTGGCCCCGCCCCTCAGCCCCCTGGGGGGTCAGCTCCACCATTTGTACAATTTTGAATCCCCACCACCTAGGGATACTTCCAGTCAAATATGGTTGATATCCATCGCTTAGTTCCAGAGAAGAAGTCACTTAAAGCAATATAGTCAAATTGCCCCCTTTTGGGCCCGCCCCTCAGCACCCTGGGGAGTCAGCCCCACCATTTGTACAATTTTGAATCCCCACCATCTAGGGATGCTTCCAGTGAAATATGGTTGATATCCATCCCTTACAGATAACATCCAAGAACTTTAATGTTAAAAAGACGTTAATATATATACAACTTGCAGACCCCCACCCCCATCCCCCGGGGTGTTCATCTTCAGAAGTGAAGTCTACTCAGCACCCTACCAATACAAATATGTTCTAAACAATTTTCTTGAATGTTGAAGTTCCTTTATTCGGAAATACACACTAATAGTAATAAGCAGGACTGTATGTAAATTGTCTGGATGCAAATTGGAACAAGTTTGATTGTGTGAACTGTATTAAGGCAAATCTGAACTTGAGTCCTAGGACCTCAACCGTATCTCTATCCTCACTCCACAAGACACACTTACCTGGAAGTCCCAGGAACTTGAACGTATTTCTATCCTCACTCGACATGATATCTCAGATTTGTTCCACAAGGTAACCTTCTTCTGACTGAAAATAAATCACCAAGACCTGTTCAGAACATGTTGGAGGGGAGGTAGACTCAACCAATCAGAGTTAGAAACTGAAGAGATATAAGAAGGATCTGGTAGATTCTGAAGTACACTGTTATATTTCAACAGCCTTTGTTTCATGTGAGTGATCCAGACATATTTAAAACCATTCAGGAAAATTATGTATAATTCAAAACAGGAATAAGATATATAACAGATAATTATTTTAAGACACAAACCTTCTGAAACAAGAGGCCCAATAGGCCTGCATCGCTCACCTGGTATAAATATCACACTTGTAACCTCAAAAGTGATCTAAAATAAAGCTACAGGCAAAATAAAATATCAGTATTTATGATTAAAATTCATTCAAAAGAACCTGTTATTTTTTTTTACAACAATTTCACCCCTGTGATTGAAAGTCGAACAAAGTCATTATGTTGAACAAATCTTATAGCCTTTCATCTCAGGATGCAATTTGCAAAGTATCAACAACCTGGGACCCATGGTTATTCAGAAGAGGTCGTTTAAAGATTTTAAACAAATTTGACCCCTGTGACCTTGAATATAAGTCAAAGTCATTCACTTTAACAAACGTAGTAGTCCTTGATCACAGCATGCTACTGACTTAATATCAACATCCTGAGCCTTTTGGTTATTCAGAACAAGTTGTTTTTTTTTTATATATTTTGTACATATTTGCTCCTTGTGACCTTGAATATGATTCAAGGTCATACATTTACACAAACTTGGTAACCCTTGATCCTAGTATGCTACTGACTAAATATCATCACCCTGTGCATTTTTGGTTATTCAGAAGAAGTTGTTTAATGTTTTTCACATATTTGACCCCTGTTACCTTGAATATAGATGAAGGTCATTCATTTGAACAAACTTGATAGCCCTTTACCCCAGCATGCTACTGGCCAAATATCATCACCCTGTGCATTTTGGTTATTTAGAAGTTGTTTAAAGTTTTTGACATATTTGACCCCTGTGACCTTGAATATGGGTGAAGGTCATACATTTGAACAAAATTTGTAGCCCTTCATCTCAGCATGCTACTGGCCAAATATCATCACCCTGGGCATTTTGGTTATCGAGAAGAAGATGTTTTAAGTTTTAAACATTTGACCTCTGTGACCTTGAAAATGGGTGAAGGTCATTAATTTTAACAAATGTTGTAGCCCTTCATCCCAGTTTGCTTCTAGCCAAATATCATCACCCTAGGCCTTTTGGTTATTAAGAAGAGGTCGTTTAAAGTAAAATATTGACGCCGGACGATGGACGGACGGACGACGGACGACGCGCCACGGCATAAGCTCACTTGGCACTTCGTGCCAGGTGAGCTAAAAAAAAAAGATCCACAGCCATCCCACCGTAACACACAAAGTGTTCGACAAACAGGAGGATCTAAAAAGTAATACTCACACTGCCTGGCCAACAGTCACCCCACCGTAACACACAAAGTGTTTGTCAGACAGGAGAGGAGGATCTAAGAAGTAATACTCACACTGCCTGGCCCACAGTCACCCCACCGTAACACACAAAGTGTTTGTCAGACAGGGGAGGAGGATCTAAGAAGTAATACTCACACTGCCTGGCCCACAGTCACCCCACCGTAACACACAAAGTGTTTGTCAGACAGGGGAGGAGGATCTAAGAAGTAATACTCACACTGCCTGGCCCACAGTCACCCCACCGTAACACACAAAGTGTTTGTCAGACAGGGGAGGAGGATCTAAGAAGTAATACTCACACTGCCTGGCCCACAGTCACCCCACCGTAACACACAAAGTGTTTGTCAGACAGGGGAGGAGGATCTAAGAAGTAATACTCACACTGCCTGGCCCACAGTCACCCCACCGTAACACACAAAGTGTTTGTCAGACAGGGGAGGAGGATCTAAGAAGTAATACTCACACTGCCTGGCCCACAGTCACCCCACCGTAACACACAAAGTGTTTGTCAGACAGGGGAGGAGGATCTAAGAAGTAATACTCACACTGCCTGGCCCACAGTCACCCCACCGTAACACACAAAGTGTTTGTCAGACAGGGGAGGAGGATCTAAGAAGTAATACTCACACTGCCTGGCCCACAGTCACCCCACCGTAACACACAAAGTGTTTGTCAGACAGGGGAGGAGGATCTAAGAAGTAATACTCACACTGCCTGGCCCACAGTCACCCCACCGTAACACACAAAGTGTTTGTCAGACAGGGAGGAGGATCTAAGAAGTAATACTCACACTGCCTGGTCCACAGTCACCCCACCGTAACACACAAAGTGTTTGTCAGACATGAGAGGAGGTGCTTTGGCTGTCTGTTCCTTCACCAGTTTACCCAGAACAGTGACCTCGTAATCCGGACCATCAGGCAATATTCTCATCAGCAGCACGCTACACAAACAAACAGGTCAGACTCCATTTGTATCAAACAATCTTAAGTCTTGAGGGTTTTTTCACCTTTGATGTGCTTCAGATAATTGATGCCAGGCCTTTAAATCACCATATAGCCAGCCCGATATTGTGTGATCATTTCATTTACATGGTGATAGCTAAAGTGATATTTTGTTTTCTCTTATAATATGACAGAAAACAATATTTCATTAATTTATATTACAGGCTATTCATGAATATTTCCCGACTTTTCCAGTGTTCACCTAAAAGTATTTCAAACTGTATAACTGTAGGAGCATTGACCACATTTTCTCTGTATTTCTGCAAGTGTATATATTGAAGGGATGACAACAGGTCTGATGCATTTTATTATTCACAACACATATCAAAATATTTACGTTCGAAATTCAGGAATTGCATCATTTGTTGGCAGAAATTTGACACTGGCTTCAGCATTTTCTCCTGGGGTGATGACTACTCTCTTGGGTGTCACAATGAAGGCGTCAGAAAAGTCAGCTGTGGTGAGCATCAGCTCCATGTTGATGTTCCCAGCATTCTTGAGTGTTACAATCTGACTGGCATGTTTACCAACAGGAGCCAATAACTGGACAGACTGCAAGGACATTAGTTATATTAGTGATATACCATCGACTGAACAGTCCATTAGTTATATTAGTGATATACCATCAACTGAACAGTCCATTCGTTACGTTAGTGATATACCATCGACTGAACAGTCCAATCGTTACATTAATGATATACCATCAACTGAACAGTCCATTCGTTACATTAATGATATACCATCAACTGAACAGTCCATTAGTTATATTAGTGATATACCATCAACTGAACAGTCCATTCGTTACATTAATGATATACCATCAACTGAACAGTTCATTCGTTACATTAGCGATATACCATCAACTGAACAGTCTATTCGTTACGTTAGTGAGATACCATCGACTGAACAGTCCATTCGTTACATTAGCGATATACCATCAACTGAACAGTCCATTCGTTACGTTAGTGATATACCATCAACTGAACAGTCCATTCGTTACGCTAGTGATATACCATAACTATATTTACCTGAAGTTTCTAAAAATTGTAACACAGAGCCAATATCACAAATGAAGGACCTCCAAGTGATTATGACTTATATGCCGAGTGCCCCGTCTCTGTGCTAGAACACAGCGACAATTTAGTTCCTGCATATGTCTAAATAACGTAATTATAATCTGTGTAAATTTCCCCCCCCCCCCCTACTTTTGGGTCAAAATTGCGAAAATTTAAGGCCTGCATAAATAACCTGTTATATAGTATTTATTTTCATTCATGTTTTACTGTAAACTATGCTTACATCTAGACTTCTGGCAATACGGAGTTTAGTGAATCCCACTACAGCAGTCAGTTTGATGGAAAAGAGAGCAGGCAGATGAGAGGAGGGCGTGTCTACTTCCACATCTACACGGGCGGTCATCTCATCAGGAGGTAGCTGAGCCATAGCTGTCAATGAGATATGGAGTTAAAATAGCAACACTTAATATAGTCCTGACAATTTGCATACAGCAATTACAGTAACAATGTACAAAGGCAATTCTCTATACACAGGAGGCCTTGAGCTTCAACACAAACAATTCTTTATACACAAAGGAGGCCTTGAGATTCAACACAAGCAAGTCTCTATACACAGAGGAGGCCTTGAGCTTCAACACAAGCAATTCTCTATACACAGAGGAGGCCTTGAGCTTCAACACAAGCAATTCTTTATACACAGAGGAGGTCTTGAGATTCAACGCAAGCAATTCACTATACACAGAGGAGGCCTTCAGCTTCAACACAAGCAATTCTCTATATACAGAGGAGGCCTTGAGCTTCAACACAAGCAATTCTCTATAACGCAAGCAATTCACTATACACAGAGGAGGCCTTCAGCTTTAACACAAGCAATTCTCTATATACAGAGGAGGCCTTGAGCTTCAACACAAGCAAGTCTCTATACACAGAGGAGGCCTTGAGATTCAACCCAAGCAATACTCTATACACAGAGGAGGCCTTGAGCTTCAACACAAGCTATTTGAGCTTCAACACAAGCAATTCTCTATACACAGAGGACTTGAGATTCAACACAAGCAATTCTCTATACACAGAGGAGGCCTTCAGCTTCAAAACAAGCAATTCTCTATACACAGAGGAGGCCTTGAGCTTCAACACAAGCAATTCTCTATACACAGAGGAGACCTTCAGCTTCAACACATGCAAGTCTCTATACACAGAGGAGGCCTTGAGCTTCAACACAAGCAATTCTCTATACACACAGGAGGCCTTGAGCTTCAACGCAAGCAATTCTCTATACACAGATGAGTCCTTGAGCTTGAACACAAGCAATTCTCTATACACAGAGGAGGCCTTCAGCTTCAACAAAAGCAATTCTCTCTACACAGCGGAGGCCTTGAGCTTCAACACAAGCAATTCACTATACACAGAGGAGGCCTTGAGCTTCAACACAAGCAATTCTCTTTACACAGGAGGCCTTTAGATTCAACACAAGCAATTCTCTATACACAGAGGAGGCCTTCAGCTTCAACACAAGCAAGTCTCTATACACAGGAGGCCTTTAGATTCAACACAAGTAATTCTCTATACACAGAGGAGGCCTTGAGCTTCAACACAAGCAATTCTCTATACACAGGAGGCCTTTAGATTCAACACAAGCAATTCTCTATACAGCGGAGGCCTTGAGCTTCAACACAAGCAATTCTCTATACACAGATGAGTCCTTGAGCTTGAACACAAGCAATTCTCTATACAGCGGAGGCCTTGAGCTTCAACACAAGCAATTCTCTATATACAGAGGAGGCCTTGAGCCTCAACACAAGCAATTCTCTATATACAGAAGAGGCATTGAGCTTCAACACAAGCAATTCTCTATACACAGAAGAGGCATTGAGCTTCAACACAAGCAATTCTCTATACACAGATGAGGCCTGGAGCTTCAACACAAGCAATTCTCTATATACACAGGAGGCCTTGAGCTTCAACACGAGCTATTCTCTATACACACAGGAGGCCTTTAGATTCAACACAAGCAAGTCTCTATACACAGAGGAGGCCTTGAGCTTCAACACAAGCAATTCTCTTTACACAGGAGGCCTTTAGATTCAACACAAGCAATTCTCAATACAGCGGAGGCCTTGAGCTTCAACACAAGCAATTCTCTATACACAGGAGGCCTTGAGCTTCAACACAAGCAATTCTCTATACACAGATGAGGCCTTGAGCTTCAACACAAGTAATTCTCTATATACAGAAGAGGCCTTGAGCTTCAACACAAGCAATTCGCTATAGACAGATGAGGCCTGGAGCTTCAACACAAGCAATTCTCTATACACAGATGAGGCCTTGAGCTTCAACACAAAGAGGAGGCCTTGAGCTTCAACACAAGCAATTCTCTATACACAGGAGGCCTTGAGCTTCAACACAAGCTATTCTCTATACACAGAGGATCTATATACAGAAGAGGCCTTGAGCTTCAACACAAGCAATTCTCTATACACAGATGAGGTCTGGAGCTTCAAAACAAGCAATTCTCTATACACAGATGAGGCCTTGAGCTTCAACACAAGCAATTCTCTATACACAAAGGAGGCCTGGAGCTTCAACACAAGCAATTATCTATACACAGGAGGCCTTGAGATTCAACACAAGCAATTCTCTATACACAGAGGAGACCTTCAGCTTCAACACAAGCAATTCTCTATACACAGAGGAGGCCTTGAGATTCAACACAAGCAATACTCTATACACAGAGGAGGCCTTGAGCTTCAACACAAGCAATTCCCTATACACACAGGAGGCCTTGAGCTTCAACACAAGCAATTCCCTATACACACAGGAGGCCTTGAGCTTCAACACAAGCAATTCTCTATACACACAGGAGGCCTTGAGCTTCAACACAAGCAATTCTCTATACACACAGGAGGCCTTGAGCTTCAACACAAGCAATTCTCTATACACAGAGGAGGCCTTGAGCTTCAACACAAGCAATTCTCTATACACAGAGGAGGCCTTGAGCTTCAACACAAGCAATTCTCTATACACAGAGGAGGCCTTGAGCTTCAACACAAGCAATTCTCTATACACAGAGGAGGCCTTGAGCTTCAACACAAGCAATTCTCTATACACAGAGGAGGCCTTGAGCTTCAACACAAGCAATTCTCTATACACAGAGGAGGCCTTGAGCTTCAACACAAGCAATTCTCTATACACAGAGGAGGCCTTGAGCTTCAACACAAGCAATTCTCTATACACAGAGGAGGCCTTGAGCTTCAACACAAGCAATTCTCTATACACAGAGGAGGCCTTGAGCTTCAACACAAGCAATTCTCTATACACAGAGGAGGCCTTGAGCTTCAACACAAGCAATTCTCTATACACAGAGGCCTTGAGCTTCAACACAAGCAATTCTCTATACACAGAGGAGGCCTTGAGCTTCAACACATGCAATTCTCTATATACACAGGAGGCCTTGAGCTTCCATAGCTTCAGCTCTTACCTTGTAACCGATACAGTTCAATCATTATATCATATCTTCTGTTATTTACATAACAGAATATTTATGTTTCAAACATGGACACATATTTTGATGGTAGCAAACTGAGCTGTACCTCTGTCACACTGCTTGTCTAGAGGGCGGCAGTAGATATGTATCTCCCTGGGTTCATTGGGCTGACCATTTTTTCTGCCCGGGAGACACATGGTGATGACGGTTTTTCCAAGGGCTTGACTTTGTGGTCGACTGCTCCGAGATATCACAGATATGTCTGCAACACTATTCTTCTGGTCAAAGGCAAAACAATGCCATGGCCTCTTGTTCTACAAAAAGAGTATGTAAGTGAAGTGAAACTGTTATAAAAACAAGAGATCCTAGAAGGATCTTGGCACCCACAGCACCATGAAAGGATCTTTATAAGACCTACAAAATATTATCTTTTACCTTCTTAACTCTTCATTTTCCTTACAGACAGGTAATGTTACCAAGTCGTATGTTGCAAATCTCAAACAGGAATTGTGTACAATATCTGAAACCTTGTAATATGATGTTATTTGCCACTATGGGAAATGTTATTGTATAAGAATTGCATAACTAGGCTTATATTGCTGAACTCTAAAAATTCAAGATGGCTGATTGTCAGCCATCTTGTTTTTCCTATCAGTTTCAAAATTTTGTGTGCATAACAAGGAACCATGGCAAACTTTATGTGAAATTTCAGAAAGATCCCTCCAGTACTTTCTCAGAAGAAGTGCTAATAATCTTTAATACTCAAATGGTATATGGGGACTATGGCCTGTTATAAACTTACCATGGTGATAGTGAGGCGGATGATGACCGTAGCCTGTTATAAACTTACCGTGGTGATAGCGAGGCGGATGATGACCGTAGCCTGTTATAAACTTATAGTGGTGATAGCGAGGCGGCCTGTTGTAAACTTACCGTGGTGATAGCGAGGCAGGCCTGTTGTTCACTTACAGTGGTCATGGCAAGGCGGATGATGACCGTTGCCTGTTATAAACTTACCCGTGGTGATAGCGCAGAAGATGACCGTAGCCTGTTATAAACTTACCGTAGTGGTGATAGCGAGGCGGCCTGTTGTAAACTTACCGTGGTGATAGCGAGGCAGGCCTGTTGTTCACTTACAGTGGTCATGGCAAGGCGGATGATGGCCGTTGCCTGTTATAAACTTTCCCGTGGTGATAGCGAGGCGGATGATGGCCGTAGCCTGTTATAAACTTACAGTGGTGATAGCAAGGAGGATGATGATCGTAGCCTGTTATAAACTTACGGTGGTCATGGCAAGGCGGATGATGACCGTAGCCTGTTATAAACTTACAGTGGTGATAGCAAGGTGGATGATGATCGTAGCCTGTTATAAACTTACCGTGGTCATGGCAAGGCGGATGATGACCGTAGCCTGTTATAAACTTACCGTGGTGATAGCAAGGCGGATGATGACCGTAGCCTGTTATAAACTTACCGTAGTGATAGCAGGGCGGCCTGTTGTTAACTTACAGTGGTCATGGCAAGGCGGATGATGACCGTAGCCTGTTGTAAACTTACCGTGGTGATAGCGAGGAGGCCTGTTGTAAACTTACAGTGGTCATGGCAAGGCGGATGATGACCGTAGCCTGTTATAAACTTACCGTGGTCATGGCAAGGCGGATGATGACCGTAGCCTGTTATAAACTTACTGTGGTCATGGCAAGGCGAATGATGACCGTAGCCTGTTATAAACTTACCGTGGTGATAGCGAGGCGGATGGGGACCATGGCTTTGCCTTCATTGACTATACTTAAAGCCATCTCACTCGTGCTGCCCCATGATACGTGACCAAAATCCAGGTGTCTGTGACCATCCGCTACAACCTGTTATTACAATTATACAGACAGAAGGCATTACAAATACACAATACATACAACATAAATCACTGACTGTGACACTTTATTGTACGATTACAATGTATTGTTTGGTACCTTTTTTCCATAAATTAATACTCACTGTTTTTACTTGAAATATGCAAATTATAGAAATTCATATATCCTAGTGATTTTAATCAATGACACACATAATTCATGCTTATTTCTTTGTACTTTTCAATACTGTCACAAGGAAAACAATCAGCGTTGTTTTTAATACGGTGCCTCTTAACACAGCAGGTTGTGCCTCAACCTATTGATAACAAGGACATAGATTAGGATCCCACAGGTAAGTACCCTTGAACAAGACACTAACCAAAAGGTATGTCAATATAAATGAGCTGTTGGAAAAACTGACCCATAACCAGCAGAACACCTGAACAATCTTCAGCACCAACGTCAACATATATGTCAGACATCTCACATACATGGAGGTACAGAGGGGAATCATGCTGTATCATGTTTAGTACCTAAGAGTAATTTCCTGGAGATAACACTATGTTGTATGATAAAGCACTGGTTTACCTGTATCTGTGGTTTCTCTGCTGCTGCCAGTATTGTGATAGAGGTGGCCACCCCGTCCACCTCAGCATCCTTGTCTCGCAAAAACAGGTGGGAATAGATGTTCAACTGGGCTTTGTACGCTCCAGAAAACTTGGGTATAAATATCACCTGCGACACACATTGAAATTTCAATAGTTATTAAGCTGAATTTTCATTCCTCAAATGCCTTAATACATTAAAAATATACAAAACATTTCCCTACTAGACAATTTATTAGGTAACTGCATAAATCTAGGATGAGAAAAGATGTATTTAAGAGTGAAATCCTGAATGTTTTAGTCTTTTTTCAAATTGATTTCATTAATAACATGATATGGACTGTTTTTACACATGATATGGTTGAAGTAAAGTAACAGGCAATGTTAGGGCGATGGAGATTAGAGATGTTTTGCTACAAACACGATTAGTCACACATAAACATATATTACACAGCAAGAATATATCTCTATATCTTACAGATATATCTTCAGTGTTGTGAGGCTCTATAATGACTTTGGATTTCATTTCAAATGGAAAGTTGGCATCACAGGAGACTGGATGGCCATCCAGGGTGAGCTTTTGCACCTCGAGATGACACTCAAGCCAGCGCATTGTGGGGTTTGTCATTGGCAGAACAGCCTTGCTGGAGATTCCCACACAGCACACACTTGCAAATTCCAGGATAGATGGAGCATCAACAGGCACAAGTTTCTTGGAGGGTGCTGGCCTTGATGTTCCTATAAGATAATGGACTGTTTATGAACAGGTTTTGTAGCAGAGAAACTTTCTGATTAACCAAATTTAATATAGATATTTCTTCTTGAACAGATGCAAAATTAATTCTAAAATCCATATTGTTATAAGGTTAGATAACAACACACTGTGACATGCATCTGCAAGGAAATAGCTCTAGGTCACTTTTGAAACATAAGATTGGTGCCTACTTATTGGGTTAGCCTCTTCATACTGTTAGAAGATTTTGTTTTGCTAATAAAGCATATTTATATTAAATTAAATTAAAATACCATGGATTTTTTTATATTTTGATCAATATAATACCCTTATAAATTTGAGTGAGAACTCAATCATTAACTCCAGTACCACATGACTATTTTTCTCGATCATTTATACATAACATTAGGCACTAGCACAGAATCATGTAAAGTTAAGGCCACATAATTCAATATGTTTATATCTACAGTATAAAAAGATGTGTGGAAAAACGACTCACCATCTGTGTCCGGGTGTCTGTCTCTGATGGACATTGATTTGTAATTAGTGGGGTGTATGGGGGTAGGGTCCTCAATTGGGCCAGTTGTCATCATTGTGTGCATACTGCTAGGGGTCATAATCAAATCGTCCATTGGCAAGAACTGTGTGGAGTTATTGCCCTTTGAGAAGGGTGTGCTCTGGTATGCAGGGCCATGCTCTAGGGTACTCAAACCATGAAGTGTCTGCTGGTGGAGGTGAGGATGACATACATCATCAGAGTTGGGTAAACAGGAGTGGGTCATATCAGTACTAGCAAAGTGTGGCCGTGCCATTTCAGAGACACGGGCCTCTGTTGGTTCACCTTGAGACCTTAAATTCCTGGAAACCAGTGGCTTTGTTACAAGATGTCCTGGAATATCTCGCTGAAGGTACTCCAGGGCAAAACTAGTACTGGCTAGAGATTGTGAAGTGAGGAGAAGTGGCTTGTTTGATCCTACTCCAGATTTTACCGGTTTCTTAGACAGCGGGTCATATTTAAAACTGGACACAGGAGGGGGAGGCATAGCGATCGTGTCCAAATGGTTTCTGTGAGGTTCAGGACTGCTGGTCATTCTCCCTGCAGGCCACTCTAATTGACCCTGCTCCCTAACAGGATCACCTATTCCTCGACTACTCGACCATGTGGCTGAGGGAGCCAGTCCATCTTCAATATCTTGCACACTAAAGTCCCTTACTCCTCGATTACTTGGCTGTGATGCTGGCAGAGCCATTCTATCTGATATATCCTGTCTGTCACTGTCATTTGGTTTGTCTCGTTTGAGAAGAAGGGAAGAATGACTCTCTCTGCTTTGTTTTGGACTAAATGAAGATAACATATCAGATACAGCAGTCTGAGTAAAACTGTCAGGAAGAATATCAATACATTCATCTCTTTCATCAGCTTTTTCCTTCTGTTTCTGAATGATGAAGCCTTGTTGCTGTAATAAATCATTATCATCTGAAGATGTTCCTTTCTCCACTCTAATCTCTGGTTCCTTCTGAGACCTACCCAAGTCGTGGTGAAAGGAATTTTGTCTACAGTTCTGTCTGTTTTGAAGTGGTTCTCTATTGTTGATTAGATCAAAGCCCCTTGAATCTGCAAGCTGGATGTCTGCAGTGCCCACTAGGTCTTCCCGTGATCTGCCCCTGTTACTGACATGCCCTACGTCTGCCTGGAAGCTGTACTCTGTCCCATCAGGAATGTGATGTCCCGTCAGCCCAAGACTTGTAGAACTACTACGGGGACTTTTCTCTAATACCAGGCCTGCAGGAAGTTCCTGTGGAGCAGATCGTTCAGATATTTTGCCATGGTAAGGAACAGCATGTGACTGGGTTCTTCCACTGGCAGGAGCTGGGGACTGGCAAGAGGGGCTGTTATGTGACTGTACTCGTACACCAGAAGAGGTTGGAGACTGGCCTTGAGAACTGTTTTGTGAGGTCTGTACATAAAGTTTCATCTGAGAGGCTTGACCATCGGCTGGCTGTTTGTCCCTAGACACATCAGGTCCTTCTGTGACCAGAGGTAGCTGTGGTGCCTCTTCATCCAAAGTCACCTGGGTGCCAAAAAGGTCCTTCGGGGAGCGGACACATACCTCCTGTTGGGGGCCCGACCTCTTGCTAGAGGGTGCTATACTTAGACGTGGGGAGCGCCACGTGTCCCTCAGACCCTGGATATCTGAGGGCAAGCTACCTACTCCCTCGTCAAGATCAGACACTCTGTCTCTCATAGGTACACCATTGTTTTGTGTTCTCACATATGCAGACTCTTCCTCCGATTCCTCTCCATCTGGCTTGGACTTCTGAAGGTTTTTACCCTCCCTAAAACCATTCATGTTTTCTAGGGATGATCCAACATGATCACCAGCTTTGTCCTGTCTCAATTCTTCACCTTCATAGGATCCCCTGGCAGAATCGGAGGAAGACTGTGACCGTCTCTTGGAATCCACATTTGACCCTTTTCTGACTGGCAGCCTTGACCTACTCTTGTTCAGCTGGTCCCTGGGGGTCCGTTGAGCCTCACCCTCAGTTTCCTTCCTTTCCATTGACCCTCTGGACCCTTTATTCTCTGCTTTACTCAGAGAATGACCTTCTGTCTCTTCTCTCATAGTAGAGGCTGACATTTTGTCTGTAACACTGGTCTTTGAAGGACCTTTGCTTTTACTGGATAGGGACATTATCATCTTAGCAAGTTCTTCTGGGCTGGCCGACTTGGACATGCTGGCTATTGCTCGACTGATCTCACTGATGTTAAGGGTAGCTGTTAAAAAACAAAACAAAATAATCCTTCAGGTCTAAAATATCATCTTGTACAAAACCTAACGGTCAATTGATTTGCTTTAGAACTTTATCAAGTTTGATTAATTTGAGACATAACAGTAACAAATTATATCATGTTCTGTCTATAAATCTACAAAAGAACAGTATGCTAGACGGTTCCCTGGTAGACAGATATTTCATTAAGCGTACTATAACAAAACTTACTAGAGGGTTCCCTGGTAGACAGATATTTCATTAAGCGTACTTTAACAAAACTTACTAGAGGGTTCCCTGGTACACAGATGTTTCATTAAGCTTTCTATAACAAAACTTACTAGAGGGTTCCCTGGTAGACAGATGTTTCATTAAGCTTACTATAACAAAACTTACTAGAGGGTTCCCTGGTACACAGATGTTTCATTAAGCTTACTATAACAAAACTTACTAGAGGGTTCCCTGGTAGACAGATGTTTCATTAAGCTTTCTATAACAAAACTTACTAGAGGATTCTGTGGCAGACTGGTCTGATGAGAGGTCCTGTTGACCGGCTGTGGTACCAGGCTTCCCTAAAGTGCTTGTTTGTAGAGAAGCTGCTAAGTCAGCCAGGGTCATGTCAGATTGGTCTATTAGAGTGGCATCCCCTACAAACAGGTTTAACATAATCTTATGTCCAAATTTTGGTGTTCCTTATCTTGTTATAAAATTGTCTTGGAAGTGATGCTGAAGAATTATCTAATAAAATAAACATAATTTAAGAATTTGAATTTCATCTTGGTTTACAACTAAAACCATTTCACTGAAAGTATGGTATTAAATCAAAAGGTGAAGTGTTACCATATATCTACCTAGAGACACAACAAAACAAACTCTTCGACAATAAAGAGATCCCAATGTGACTAGTGTAGAGAGTATGTCTACCTTCCTCGTTGCCTACTCCCGCTGTGCGGTTCATTGAGCCGTCATCCCCATCAAAACCACTGGCAGCAATATCCAACAGGGCAACTGGCTTCCTGTTCTCAGGGGGTGTCTTACAGGTCATACCAAACTCCGGCTGTCAGCAAAATAAAGTCACTACAGTAAGTAATGTCCACATTCTATTTTATCTATATTATCCTGGCACTGACATCATCAATGTATTAGGGGGGTGACCCATTTCCTATACCTCCCACCATTCACAATTTTCTTTTGCACTTCAACCCCCCCCCACGTACCCTTTCCCCTGAAAGTTTTTATTTTTCTTACACATCCCACCTATATATAGATATATTTATATGATAATATTGAATTTTACAATGATTCAGGTATTGCAATTCCACTGTACAAGACTTTTATAATTTTAGGTCTGGATCCATCAGTTTTATTTAATAGTCGTACAATGCAACTTCCTATTTTACAAACCAAGAATGTTTATACAGGTTAAAAGCCATCCCCATGTCTAAATTAGAACATACAGTGAACGTTTTTTAGATACACCTTCTATACACTTCAGCTGTAATTCTGAACAGAGTAAAAAGAATTTAACGAAATCAATATTTTGTACTTGCCAAATCAGGAAAATAACATCTATACATTATTTGGAAAAGTGTAGAACATAGAAGAAACTGCTGATATTCAGTAGTAAAATAACAAAAACCCTGTAATCGTCAGTAAGTAACAGTGACCGAGGTTAACCCTCTCCCGTCTTTTCACCTTTAGATACCAACACCCAATTATTAACCACTACCAAACACATTAATTTAGCTTAAAGTGCCTCCTACCCCAACCCACATACAATTATTTCTGGAATAACCATTAGGAGCAGTAAGTGCGTGTGATCATGAACATTTTATTTTCAGCACTGCATTGTTTTGTGACAATGTTGGTACACAGCTGGTTTCACACATTTCCACAGTGATGGGCCACGTCACTACTTAAATGTAGTTTTAATGGTGAAATATGAATATTTCAATATGTCAAAGATTCCCAGGATCCAGTAATTATCAAGGAAGTTATAGTTGGAGTATGTTTGGTCAAAAATGATAGGGCCATTTTTTAAAGTGAAAAATGCCAAGCATCAGTGGCCATTACTAGATAAGAACTGCAGACATTTGACTCAATAGGTCCAGTGAAACTTACCCTTTGTTCAGGAACACCATCTATTGACCCCAGGGCACCAGATCTGCTTTTCATGAATGTGCCGACAGAGATGCGTGTACAATCGTCTGATCCGCGCAGGGAGGAGGGACATGAGAGAGACATTTTGCTGTGAACAGCCCATGACTCCTCTAGGCCTGGACCATTACTGGATGTACAAACTTCCTCCTGTAGTACATACAATCAAAAGTTTTAAAACTCTATGAAACCTTCTTTCTGCTGGACACCAGATCAGTCTAATAACTGTTTATCCTACAGCATAGAAAATCAATCAAATACTAGACAAAAGTGTTGCAAGATTTACCTAGTCCCCCACCTCCTGACATACCTTGACACCGAAACATAACAATGGGCCATAACTCTGTATAAAGTAAGACACGGAACCTAGTTTCAATACATGACCACAACCTCAAGAGGTTATGAAGTGTGGCATATAGTGCGCCTTTTTTGGGAAAATGCCATTTCTTGAGGAAATTAGGCTGAAATATTTAGTATTGGCACTTCAAATGAGAACAAACATGATGAAATTCACAAAGCTCATCACTTTTGTGTATTGCAAAGAGTCAAGGTTGCATGACACATTTCACAGGCCGGATTTTACCGTGACAATTCAAATTGAATGGAACTGGTAATGATGCCAATGAGAGCTTAAACAGATATTTAGGGACTCCAAACAGTCAGATACATATCACTATTTTTTTTTCAAAATAAAGGCAAGCAGATACTGCTGTCGGATTTAGTTGTATTAGCAGATGCTCAGAAGACAACAAAGAATTGTGTCTTTCAGGGAAAAAAGGGGCGAACATTTATCTATAAATAGGATCAAGTTTTTCTGAAATGTATTGTTGTAGAAATAACATTGTTTTATGACCAATAGCATGTGCTCTGCCCAAGCAAGGCATCAACAGATGTCCTCATCCTCCAAGTGTCAACACTTTTCCTTATTGAAGGCCTACTGCAGCTTATTTAACAAAAAGGTTTAGTGTGATCCATCTTCCCAACCTAATCACCTGGGTGAATGTTTTTATTTGAATAGTATTTCCTTCATCATTCATGAGTATACAATATACACGCATACAAATAGTACGAGTTATGCCACAGATAAAAGAATGAGAGATTTATAAAGGTTGATTTACATATCTGACACTCTGCCAACCCAGTACGTATAAACATGCTAAATTTGAAAATTGTTGGTGGTAGTCTTTCATTCCAAATATTTTATTTGAACGAATTGTATGTAGAATCAGCCCATTTTTTGAGATAAAAGGACCCCAGCTTTCTCTTTCAAACTATAGAGATGATGTCCTCTTCCTCAAGATCCAGCACAAAGATGGATATTTACCTGCATAAAAACGTTTTCTTTCTTAAACTCTTGTTCGTCAGCCTCAAGCATATTTTGTCCATCACCTGGATGAAAAAAGCACAATTTTTTCAATATTAACTCAAAACTTTTTCAAAAACATTTATGCACTCCACTTCCAACCCTCTTAATGGAATAGGAGCTAAATGCTAAGTCCAAACAAAGTAATTGAGATGAATAGAGTTTATCCAAAGGTCAGTGAAGGGGATAAAATCTAGGTCACATTGACCTACATTTGATATATTAGTGTAGTACTCCCTTGAATGTATCCACACAATAAGTTCTATGACTGATGGACTTCTAGTATCAGAGTAATGAAGCTGATGGACTTCTAGTATCAGAGTAATGAAGCTGATGGACTTTTCGTATCAGAGTAATGAAGCTGATGGACTTCTAGTATCAGAGTAATGAAGCTGATGGACTTTATCCAAAGGTCAGTGAAGGGGATAAAATATAGGTCACATTGACCTACATTTGATATATTAGTGTAGTACTCCCTTGAATGTATCCACAAAATAAGTTCTATGACTGATGGACTTCTAGTATCAGAGTAATGAAGCTGATGGACTTCTAGTATCAGAGTAATGTAACTGATGGACTTCTAGTATCAGAGTAATGAAGCTGATGGACTTCTAGTATCAGAGTAATGAAGCTGATGGACTTCTAGTATCAGAGTAATGAAGCTGATGGACTTCTAGTATCAGAGTAATGAAGCTGATGGACTTCTAGTATCAGAGTAATGAAGCTGATGGACTTCTAGTATCAGAGTAATGAAGCTGATGGACTTCTAGTATCAGAGTAATGAAGCTGATGGACTTCTAGTATCAGAGTAATGAAGCTGATGGACTTCTAGTATCAGAGTAATGAAGCTGATGGACTTCTAGTATCAGAGTAATGAAGCTGATGGACTTCTAGTATCAGAGTAATGAAGCTGATGGACTTCTAGTATCAGAGTAATGAAGCTGATGGACTTCTAGTATCAGAGTAATGAAGCTGATGGACTTCTAGTATCAGAGTAATGAAGCTGATGGACTTCTCGTATCAGAGTAATGAAGCTGATGGACTTCTCGTATCAGAGTAATGAAGCTGATGGACTTCTCGTATCAGAGTAATGAAGCGAAGTACAAACACATACCAAGGTTATTGGATGGACAGACAGAAAAGGTGACTTAATGTAACAGGATACAAATATTTACACCCCTACTGCCTATAATTCAGTTCAACTGTCACCCTGTTTCTCCTGCCCTTCCTTCTATATTTTCTATCCAAAACTGCTCTAAACTAAATCTCAATTCCCCTCTTCCTTGAACGATATAAAGTTTTTGGTACTTTTCTATTAACTTGTAATAGTTTGATACTTTCCTATTAACCTGTAATAGTTATAAAATAAAAAGATTTAAAAATAAAAATACATCCAACAAATAAGTCTGAATTCCTAGTTGAGTATTATATACATATATATGTCCAGTGTAGTGTCATTAATCTGCCACTATCCAGTCAGTATTTTAGGGGGCCAGTGTAGTGTCTGCCACTAAACCAGTTGTGCCACTATCCAGTCAGTATTTTAGGGGGCCAGTGTAGTGTCTGCCACTAAACCAGTTGTGCCACTATCCAGTCAGTATTTTAGGGGGCCAGTGTAGTGTCTGCCACTAAACCAGTTGTGCCACTATCCAGTCAGTATTTTAGGGGGCCAGTGTAGTGTCTGCCACTAAACCAGTTGTGCCACTATCCAGTCAGTATTTTAGGGGGCCAGTGTAGTGTCTGCCACTAAACCAGTTGTGCCACTATCCAGTCAGTATTTTAGGGGGCCAGTGTAGTGTCTGCCACTAAACCAGTTGTGCCACTATCCAGTCAGTATTTTAGGGGGCCAAATGGCCTATGCAACTTTTCACAGTACTCCGGCTGTCTCATAAATTAGCTACTGCTTCTGGAAACATATCAGCTCATTTTTTGAGGCTCCACAAAATGTTTCAATCTAACACATAATCCTATAACTGCTATAACACCTTAACCAGCAACACACAACAGCAATATTGTAACTTTAGGAAAGTGTTCCTTAACAAGCTGATTTAAGGATAAATATAAGGGTTCAATGGAATACCCTCTTTGCCACGTACCTGAAGTCAAGAAGTCCTGATCACTGAAAGTTAGGCCCATTTGAGTCTCTGCATCAAATCCCTGAGTTACTAGCACATCTTTCTGGAAATGAACTTCCTGTAGAAAGGAGGTTTGGTAGGCCAGGTCTGTGACAAAGTCACCATCCTCGTCCTGGTAAATTGTCCTTTTGCTAGCAGCAGGTTCTCCAGCTGATTGGACTACAAATACAGGCACATTCCTTTAGACTTGAGAATCAGGAGGTTATGACGACAAAGTGTAGCTCACTGCTAATACAAACACATTGTGTCACAGTGGGAACCTATATTCAGGTATACATTACATAACTATTGGTTAATTTGGTTCTTGAGAATAATTTTTCTTTGAAATTCATCACAAACTAAATTTGCAATTTCCAGTAGTTAGAGGTGTCATCTATGGTCCCTTGAAGCTAGTACTGTAAAAGTGGAAATTATTGTAATGTTGAAATACTAATATTTTCACATAAATTAGTACGTAATATATCTTAAATCATTACAAGTTCTCAAATTAATATTAATATCATGAGGCTCCTTGTAAAATGTGTGAATGAAGAAAATAAAATCATCAAACAAAATCAATTTATTTTGGTTTTAGACTAAAGATGGAATATTTGTTGCTTAAACAGGAAATTAAGCAAAGAGAATGGTGAAAATTATGATTGAATAAGGGGAAAATTTAAGCATGATTTCTGAGGGGATTTACCCAATACTGGTAATAAAAAGACCTGGATAAAGCCCTGTATCCACATGGGAATATGTATATAGATTATACAGCTTATAGATATATAGCATATGAAGATTTCAGAACATTACCACCATGAACATTTCCACACGGCGACCAGTATAAAGAGTCAATAGAATCATTTCCACCAACGAGAATTTCCACTTTCACAGTATCTGGAATGTTTAGTACTGCCTGACAAATCTCATCTAGTATTTGTTGAAATAACACAAAATTCTTGAGCTTCAGTTTTTAATAGTACACCTACCTGGGGGATCAAATGACCCAAAGGATGGTTGTTCTGGAACACTGTTTCCACTTATCCTTCCTAGTGGGCTCCCTGGGGCTCGGCTGTTGGTACTTGTTCGATGACTCAAAGGACTGGCGTGCATTTCTTTCCACACAGAATTTTCTGCACTTTCTCTACCCGCGTCAGGGACTGGACTGGCCGCAAAGGATCCAAAAGAGGAAGTCAAACCACCAAATGGGTTTTCACCTTGTGGTTGATCCTGCAGTTAACAAAATTAAGTTTTGATATTTATTTGGTAGCAACTATTTCTCAGGCATTTTATCTAACACTGAACTAAAATATTAATTTCTATTTCTTTATTGTTTTAATTAAACAGTTTTAAACAAAAGGCTTAACCTCTCCAATTGAACTCTCTAGCTATGTCTATATTGATAAATCATTTAAACCAGGTGTATACATGGACAGAGAGACATTGCAATGTGTTCATTGTTTCAGGGCAAAGTCAAAATGAACTATAGGTGAAAAATTTCACAGTGAAGTCATAATAAAATCTTCTTAGTCTCAAATGTTGGAAAGCAGAGCTTTTTTTTAACAGCCTTAATAAGCTCATTAGGGAATAACTAAACAAAAGTCTGTCTGCAATTTCATTGTTTCCAGCAATACCTTAACATCATCAGCATTGAATCCAGATGCCTCTAGCCTATCCCCTGGGGATTCCTCTGGCGTCCCATCTCCCCGAGTGTTGCCACCGCCAGCATTGGCAGCCTGACTCTGGAGCAGCTCATCCAGCATAAATGTGCTGTTATCCAGTCCTGACCACTGAGCCACTGTTGTCATGTCACTGGCTGGCTGTGAGGTCAAAAATCGAGACTCCAGAAGGGCATCGTCAGTTTTGGACCGTGCTCCCTAAGAAAAGTAGAACACCATTATCTGTACCTCATTCCTACAGCACATGTTTAGTACTATGTTTTAGTCCTAGTACACCGAAACATCCAGTTACTTTGCCTTTATTCACAATGTATCACGAGATAGGTGTTGTAAGCAACATTCTTACACCTGGTTAAATCAGTACACCAACACATCATCCAACAAGTCCTATATGTTATTTAGCATCCTTACCTGGTAAGTTGAATAGCGGTTGATTCCTTTCTCTGTCAACAGATCATCTCCCATAGGGCGCACTCTCTGTTCCTGTAGAAACCATTTTTTTTTTATATTTATTGAACATATAACATTGTTACACACTCAAGCACACTAGTACTATTGCAGACATAAAAGTAGGACGGAAAAATTCTATCAGAGAGTGGGGAACATCTGAATAAGTAGATAACGCCATTTCTGACAAGTAATTTGACTTAAGTGTACTATAGTCACAGTATAATCTATACCTACAAAGAATACCTGATACAATCCATTTGTCCTGATTACCCCTTACCTCTGGATCAGGTCTGTTTAAGTTCTGGTCTTGCATTGGTCGAAAACTTTGTCGGAACTGCTCTAGGAAATCTTGTGCTTGTGAGGATCGTCTTTCAGACAGAGGCTGGTCTTCACTATAAACAAATGTTCCCCAATCAGCAAGACATGAAGGACTATTTTACAACCCATACCTACTCATGTGGATATCATCTAATGTAAGAATGCAGAAGGTTGTTCAATGCTAACATGCAATGTTTTGCACAAAAAGACAATTTGTAAAACAGAAAAATCAAAATAATAAATGCATTCCCAAAATCAGACTTTCAACTTCTAGATCTACATAAACATGGTCCACATGACAAAAGAAAATCTAGCCTCATAGATCTACATAAACACAGACCACATCCACATAACAACAACAGGAAATCTAGCCTCATAGATCTACATAAACATGGTACACATGAAAACAAAAGAAAATCTAGCCTCATAGATCTACATAAACATGGACCACATCCACATGACAACAACAGGAAATCTAGCCTCATAGATCTACATAAACATGGCCCACATGACAACAAAAGGAAATCTAGCCTCATAGATCTACATAAACATGGTCCACATGACAACAAAAGGAAATCTAGCCTCATAGATCTACATAAACACAAACCACATCCACATCACAACAACAGGAAATCTAGCCTCATAGATCTACATAAACACGGACCACATCCACATAACAACAGGAAATCTAGCCTCATAGATCTACATAAACATGGACCACATCCACATGACAACAACAGGAAATCTAGCCTCATAGATCTACATTAACATGGTCCACATGACAACAAAAGGAAATCTAGCCTCATAGATCTACATAAACATGGACCACATCCACATCACAACAACAGTAAATCTAGCCTCA